CAGACCCTTGAGGTGAACTGGGGACCCTGATCCGATACAATATCCTCAGGCACCCCGTAGTGCCGGAAGACGTGTGTAAATAGGGCCTCAGCAGTTTGTAGGGCCGTAGGGAGACCTGGCATAGGAATGAGATGGCAGGACTTAGAAAACCGATCCACAACGGCCAGGATCGTGGTTTCCCTTGTGAGGGGGGAAGGTCGGTAACAAAATACACCGAAAGATGGGACCACGGCCGTTGTGGAATGGGTAGGGGTTGTAATTTCCCTCTGGGCAGGTGTCTAGGTGCCTTACACTGGGCGCACACCGAGCAGGAGGAAACGTAAACCCTCACGTCCTAAAGTGGGCCACCAGTACTTCCCACTAAGACAGTGCACTGTCCGACCGATGCCAGGATGACCAGAGGAGGGTGAAGTGTGAGCCCAATAGATCAATCGATCGCGAACCTCGAGCGGCACGTACCTACGACCCTCTGGACACTGGGGGGGGAGTGGGCTCGGTATGTAACGCCCGCTCGATGTCCGCGTCAACCTCCCACACCACCAGTGCCACCAGACACGACGCCGGAAGTATGGGAGTGGGCTCAATGGACCTCTCCTCTGTGTCATACAGTCAGGAAAGGGCATCTGCCTTAGCGTTCTGGGAACCTGGTCTATAAGTAAGAGTAAACACAAAACGAGTGAAGAATATGGCCCACCTTGCCTGGCAAGGGTTCAATCTCCTCGCAATGGTCAGTCAAAATGAGGAAAGGGTGTTTAGCCCCCTCAAGCCAATGCCTCCACACTTTCAGGGCCTTAACCATAGCTAACAGCTCCCGGTCCCCCACATCATAGTTGCGCTCCGCCGGACTGAGCTTCTTAGAAAATAAAGCACAGGGGCGGAACTTTGGTGGCGTACCCGAGCGCTGAGACAGTACAGCTCCTATCCCAGCCTCGGACGCGTCCACCTCAACCTGGAATGCTAAGGAGGGATCCGGATGAGCCAGCACACCACACAATGTATTAACACATCCTTCAGATGACCAAAAGCCCTGTCCGCCTCAGCTGACCACTGCAGTCGCACCGGTCCCCCTTCAACAAGGAGGTAATGGGAGTCGCTACCTGACCAAAGCCCCGGATAAACCTCCGGTAGTAGTTGGCAAAACCCAAAAATAGCTGCAACTCCTTCACCGTGGTTAGAGTCGGCCAATTACGCATGGCCGAAATGCGGTCAATCGCCATCTCCACCCCTGACGCGGACAGGCGGTGCCCTAGGAAGGAGATGGACTCTTGGAAGAACAGACATTTCTCCGCCTTCACATACAGGTCATGCTCCAACAGTCGACCAAGCACTTGACGCACCAGGGACACATGCTCGGCCCGTGTAGCGGAGCATATGAGAATGTCATGCCCAGAGGTGGTACTGAATGCTGTCTTCCACTCATCTCCCTCCCGGATACGCACCAGGTTGTACGCGCTCCTGAGATCCAATTTTGTGAAGAAGCGCGCCCCGTGCAATGACTCCTTCATACTAGCAATGAGCGGTAGTGGATAACTGTACTTGATAGTGATCTGATTGAGACCCCGGTAGTCAATGCACGGGCGTAAACCTCCATCCTTCTTCTTCACAAAAAAGAAACTCGAGGAGTTGTACAACTGAATAGTGTCTTCCACATTTAACCCAACCCCTCTGAACAGAGAGGTGTGGGGTGCTGCCTTAATCGACACCCACGTCATCAGCGCCCAGGGAACAGTGGGTTAACTGCCTTGCTCAGGGGCAGAACAACAGATTTGTACCTTGTCAGTGCGGGGATTCGATCCAGCAACCTTTCGGTTACTGGCCCAAAGCTCCTACCCGCCAGGCTACCTGCCGCTCCACGGTACTCTATTCCCTATGAAGTGCACTACTTTTAAAAGGGCCCATAGGGCTCTGGTCAAAAGTAGTGCACTATGTAGGGAATAGCTTGCCATTTTGGACGCAGTCCTGGGTGACCACATTTAAAATACCCAAATGCGGGACAAATTGATGATTTTGTGGGACAGCCTACATACAGTTTTTTCCCGCTGCACCGAAACAAGCTAATTGAAGCGCTCCTATAGGCTGCTCTTTTGCCTCACGCCAAATTTGTGATGCGGAAATGAGAGACCAAATGTGCAGCTGTTTTATGAAAATCTGGGAATATTTGGCCAAGGAAACATTTCTGGTTGGTTTCAGGGAATGTAAAACAGTTAGGAAGGGAGACTTTGAAAACCGGATTGAATGAAGTAGCAGCAAATATGTTGAATGAGCAATGAGCATGGAGAGCCTCACAAGTTTGACAAAATCACATTATATCTTTCAGTCTAATACAGCTATTTACTTACTTTTGTATATCTCTTCGTCAGAAGCACGCTTTTTGTGAGTAGTTAACTGTCCTCTCCAAGTTTAGCTGAAATTTTGCCCGAAAGGATTTGACAAATGTGATTGGTTGGCGATATGACATTGGCCTACGTCTCGTCTTGCGCTGCGCAGAATATCAGATCTCAACAATGATTGGAGAAGTGCTTAACTTCACCAGTACCACATTCTTATGATATATAAATGATCAAAAGTGCAAGGTGACTGCAAAAGAGACAGTTTGGAATGTCTAACCAAAATACGGAACAAATTGACCTTTTTGTAAATTAATGGTGTTTGAATTTGTTGATAAAATGCGGGACATGATTGTTTGGTTGCGGGACGCGGGACAAAGGGCCAAAATACGGGACTGTCCCACACAATCCAGGACATGTGGTCACCTTAGACGCAGCCTGTGTGTCAGAATGATCTCCTCTGACGCTCACTCCTAGCGGCCAACAGGCCCCTCCCTCATCATTACAGACAGGATACAGCCACACAGTCAGGCCCTTACCAGCAGGACGCTGTCTGCCTGTCTGCCACTCATTGTGCCCAAATGAGTTTATGTTTCTGTAGGCTATAGGCATACCCATTTAGTTTTGCCTCTAGTGTTGGCATGTGTGATTGTCTCGTGTGTGTGTGCTATAGTATCCCATTGAGGTTGAGATTGAAACCGAAGGAAGTCTCTTTGTGGTGTTCAGTGGAGCCAGGAGAGTCTGCAGGGCTCAGTGGCTCCACAGTTCTCTGGAGCTGTGCCACGCTGCCACGCTGCCTGGGGGAGAAATACCCAACATCCTGGCCTGATGGTATCACCACCCTCCATCCTCCACCCTCCATCCTCAGTCTGGGATCCCTAGAGGGGAACTGGAGGGGAGAGGGAGTAGTACCCTAGGTTTTACGGTGAACAAGTTGATGGTCTTTTAATTTGACCTACCCAAGTATAAGAGGACCATTTCTGCGTCCCAAATGGCACCCTGTTCCTGCTGTACCTTTCATAGAGAATGTGAAGAGAATGGAGCATGTGCAGTAACATCAGGTTTGGTTTGTGTGACTGAGTAACACGAGTGAAGAAATACAGTGAGGAGACAGGAGTCTATTTCGATCCTCTGCCTTTCCCTCACACCAGTCAGGTCTTGCTCTGATTGCTGTGAATGATATCTCCCTCCCCAGAGGCAGAGTAAGTCTACTTTAATAAATGTGCGTTTGGTTAATACAAAGCAGCTGTGTCTTGCCACTCTAGTTCTTACTGTAATTGCTCACTTGTATCTTGATTCACAGCACAAACACAGTGAGATGATGATGATGTTTATTATACACTTTCCTTAAAGTTACCATGCCATTATAACCGTGACTCTTCATATTCACGTTTTTTATGTTTTTTTGATTCGTCTGGGCGTCATTAGGGCGTAGCTAGGGCGTTGTGAGGCAAACGCACACTCAGACACATGTGCACGCGTACGTACATAGGAGGAACGCACATGCACAGGAACATGCCCACACGTACGCACACACACACAGGACACACACAGACACAGAGTATGTTTACATGCACACTAATAATTCAATATTAAACTGTTTATGGCAGTAGGCAGATTACGCAATAGTCATGTAAACACCTTACTCTGCTTATCTTTAATCAGTCTAAGGTCATAAATGAAGTAAGCATACACCGATTAAAACACCTGGTCTTCTGAGCAATCTTTCTAATTATTAGGACACGTAAACAGTTTAATCAGCGTTCCAGCTGTGTATTTGATCTGCGCATGTACCAGCACCAGCCGTGTCAGCCTCCGTCTTTAGCACGAGTGAAGTGTGTTTGGAACAACTGAATGTATGCGTCTTAGAAGTAGTTTTCACATACTAACCCAAAAATAACATGTTCACTGTGGTAGAACGTTTATTTAAAATTCAGTTTTCTGCCATCAGGTAGCCTGATTTCAAATGTGTCCATGTAAACAGTATTATTAGGGAAATTATTCTTGCAAAGCATGTAAATGTTTTCATCAAAATATTATATTAGTCTGACTATCCACAATAAAAGCGTTATTGTGTGCATGTAACCGCACTCACACACACACACCAATCCGATGGTTCTGGAGAGGCGAAGGTTTCCTCACCCAAAATAATAATAGGCTTGTTGAGCCTCTGACTAAAGAGAAAATTACCTCATTAATTATGAAGCATTAATTTCTGACCAGTCTGCGTCTAGCTCAGTCTGTCTTCTCTGGCAGTAGCACACAGCAATCACCTCAGGTGCCTCCAGCCACTATTAGCCGAAGCAAATATCATACATTATTTATATACTGAAAATATAGCAAGGGTGTGTTCTCTCTTGCATTACAGTTTTAGGGGAGAAAAGCCACTCAAACGACTCAATGCAAGATTCAAACCCACTCACACGACTCAACGCAAGATTCAAACCCACTCAAACGACTCAACACAAGATTGGAAACGACTCAACGCAAGATTCAAACCCACTCAAATGACTCAACGCAAGATTCAAACCCACTCAAATGACTCAACACAAGATTCAAACCCACTCAAACGACTCAACGCAAGATTCAAACCCACTCAAATGACTCACAATTAGCCTACATCTGTTTCTTTGAACTGCTAGTTTTCTACTAATGGTATCCTTTCATTAAAACATGCAGTTCGCTGATGGTCTTAGCTGACCTGAAGGCACTGCTACTGTAGATGCTTTGGCCACGGCATTTTGAACATTGACCATTTGATCATTATTTAGCATCGGCTTGGTTGAGTTGCATGTGGGTGTACATGCGTGTGTACAGTACGTGTGTGTGCGTAAGAGTGTGTGTGTGTAACATTGTGTGAATGTGTGTGTATGCATTGTGATAGCTGGGCTGGAGCTGCTGGAGGCTGCTCTGGGGCCTTAGCGTGTGATATATGACTGAGTCAGGAGCAGTCAGCAACCATCACCACAATCCCCAAAATGGAGGCATAGACTCACATCCCCATATCACTGCTGTGTTTATGCTCAGACACACCACAGATACACAGTTTCCACAGATGTGAGATTGTTGGTTCCTGCTAAACAGCCATTTCTCTGATCTCTGATCTTCTGTTAGTCGTCTCATCTCGCTGTGTGAAGACACACGCACACACACACACATACACAGACATGCACACACCCACGCACAGACGCATGCACTCACACACACACACACACACACACACACACACACACACACACACACACACACACACACACACACACACACACACTCACACACACACACACACACACACACACACACACACACACACACACCCACACACACACTCTCTCAGTGTTAGTCTCACAGCAGGAGAGCTGTTTTCTCCAGCCAGGTCGTTCAATATTGACGTTGAAATTGGACGTCTATCCATATCCTGAGGACATCGGGAAATGCCTTCAAAACCGTCCACAAGGGGCAACAGTGAGTGCTAATACCATCAAGTAGGCTTGGGTTTTGCTAGGGCGTTGTGGACTGCGATGGTGGATAGACGTAATCCAATGACTCTGGATCAAAAGGTTGAGTGTTTGATCCCAGTCATGGACATTATTTGGGGTTTCAACCCTATCCCAAACCTTAACCCTTACCTTAACCATTCGGGAATGAGTGCCTAAACTTAACCCTTAACTTAGAAATGTGATGTTTGGAGAAATGGAACATTAGAGAGCAGCAGGAGAAACAAAAACTCTTTGACATGTGGAGCAACTTTAAAATGTTACGTTTGGGGAAGGTGAATGAACGTCTAACTCTGCAGTGAGACTGTGAGAGCTAGTCGGCAGTTCTGCATTGTAATGGCCAGCCAGCTCCCTAGCTCAGCCTCAGAGATCCTTAGATCCAACCAGCCTGTAGCCTCCTCCCAGGCTGTGGGAATGTGTTTGTGTGTGTGCGTGTGTGTGTGTTTGGAGTGTGTGTGTGTGTGTTTGGTTTATGTGTGTGTGTGTGTGTGTGTATGTGTGTGTGTGGGAGCAGGTTGGTGACAAATGTGTTGCTGTGCCCACTGTTTGCTTGGGAAATATTATGTGGCCAATTTCTCTCTGAGCTTTAGAGGAGAGGCCTTATTGGAGTAACATCTTGGCCCCATATCACAGACAGGGCTTTAGTCTAGATCAGAGGAGAGGAAGATGGATGGAGGAGTGGAGGGGAGGGGATGAGTGGAGAGAAGGGGAGGGGAAAAAGTCGACAGTTCACTAAGGATGATACATGAGAAGAGTGGAAATAGGGCGAGAGAGAGAGAGAGAGAGAGAGACAGAGAGACAGAGAGACAGAGAGAGGGAGAGATAAATGAGAGATATAAGAGATAACTAGACTAGATATATAGACGATATAAGAGCAGATTAGTCCAAGCAGGCCAGATCAGCTTTTGTTAGGTGTTCAGTATCTCCTTGTCCATCTATCCAGTATAGTTGAGACATGAGACAATTGGACTGAACAGTAAATTCTTAGAGCCAGTGAGCAGGTCTGGGATTATCGATCCTGGAGCAGCTCTTGGCGTACCCAGAGCTCCCTGGCTCAATGAGGTGGAGTGGAGCTGTCAGTGTGTTCCGGATGTGAACGTTCCCCGGGGTCCGGTCCGGCACTCCCCGTCGGCTCCTAGGGAATGATCAGCCAGCCATCGCCACAGCAACAGAGTTACAATGCATGTCATGGCTTTTAGGCTAATTCAGCCATTTGTGTGTATTTCTATTTGTCATCTCAGTGGCCAGTACAATGACTGATTACAGATATCTAGTTTTAGTCAGATTCTTTGAGCTGAGCCGAGGTAGGGAAATGACTTGTATTTCTGATTCCTTCCGCTGGTGAGGTTTATGCTGCTGATTATAAACTGGGTGGTTTGAGCCCTGAATGCTGATTGGCTGACAGCCGTTGTATATCAGACCGTATACCACGGGTATGACAAAACATGTATTTTTACTGCCCTAATTACATTGGTAACAAGTTTATAATAGCAATAAGTCACCTAGTGGGTTTGTGGTATATGGCCAATATACCACACCTCCTCGGGCCTTATTGCTTAAGTAGAAGTCAGTGGTAAGCGTGAATAGCAATGTGGAAGCAGATGACTGTGTCTTTCACCTGATGCTCAAAGGCCTCTTCTTCGTCACATCACACATCTTCCTCACATCAATGACGTAAATGAGGTGTGAGCCTCAGCGCTCGCTATAGGTGTTGAGTGATGTGTGAGTGAGTGAGATGATGATTTTACACTTAGTGGGAGGGAGAGATATTAGTGTTTGTGTGTGCATTCGTGTAGTATGACAGTGTGTGTGTGTGCTTTCGTTCAGTATGAGTGTGTGTCATTGAGTGTTCTTGTTGTTTGTTGTTCTGACCCTCCCTGTGTGTGTGTGTGAGGTGAAATCTGTCACTGAAGCATACAGCCCCCGTCAGCAAACGGTTGACTGGTCTGCCCAGAAATTGAGTATAGATGATGGCCATGTCATGTAGAATCATTTATCTGCTATATCAAGGACAGGAGTCTCCAACCTTTTCTAGCATGAGAGCTATTTTAAAAAATCAAACCTGTCGCGAGCTACTAACTTTTTTCTAGCTTTCAAAAAGGAACATTCTTCTCCTCTCCCCTGGAACTCTTCCCCGAGTCCTTAGTGTACAAGAGGAAGTAGTGCACTATATTTTCTGTCAATATACCTGGTAAAATAATGGTTAACGAACAACTCTAAAGGGGCCCTATAAAATCAGTGATTTTCAGTTTTACAGTGAGGGAAAAAAGTATTTGATCCCCTGCTGATTTTGTACGTTTGCCCACTGACAAAGAAATGATCAGTCTATAATTTTAATGGTAGGTTTATTTGAACAGTGAGAGACAGAATAACAACAACAAAATAAAAAAAAACACATGTAAAAAAATGTATACATTGATTTGCATTTTTAATGAGGGAAATAAGTATTTGACCCCCTCTCAATCAGAAAGATTTCTGGCTCCCAGGTGTCTTTTATACAGGTAACGAGCAGAGATTAGGAGCACACTCTTAAAGGGAGTGCTCCTAATCTCAGCTTGTTAACTGTATAAAAGAAACCTGTCCACAGAAGCAATCAATCAATCAGATTCCAAACTCTCCACCATGGCCAAGACCAAAGAGCTCTCCAATGATGTCAGGGACAAGATTGTAGATCTACACAAGGCTGGAATGGGCTACAAGACCATCGCCAAGCAGCTTGGTGAGAAGGTGACAACAGTTGGTGCGATTATTCGCAAATGGAAGAAACACAAAAGAACTGTCAATCTCCCTGGCCTGGGGCTCCATGCAAGATCTCACCTCGTGGAGTTGCAATGATCATGAGAACAGTGGGGAATCAGCCCAGAACTACACAGGAGGATATTGTAAATGATCTCAAGGCAGCTGGGACCATAGTCACCAAGAAAACAATTGGTAACACACTACGCCGTGAAGGACTGAAATCCTGCAGCACCCGCAAGGTCCCCCTGCTCAAGAAAGCACATATACAGGGCCGTCTGAAGTTTGCCAATGAACATCTGAATGATTCAGAGGAGAACTGGGTGAAAGTGTTGTGGTCAGATGAGACCAAAATCGAGCTCTTTGGCATCAACTCAACTCGCCGTGTTTGGAGGAGGAGGAATGCTGCCTATGACCCTAAGAACACCATCCCCACTGTCAAACATGGAGGTGGAAACATTATGCTTTGGGGGTGTTTTTCTGCTAAGGGGACAGGACAACTTCACCGCATCAAAGTGACAATGGACGGGGCCATGTACTGTCAAATCTTGGGTGAGAACCTCCTTCCCTCAGCCAGGGCATTGAAAATGGGTCGTGGATGGGTATTCCAGCATGACAATGACCCAAAACACAAAGGAGTGGCTCAAGAAGAAGCACATTAAGGTCCTGGATTGGTCTAGCCAGTCTCCAGACCTTAATCCCATAGAAAATCTGTGGAGGGAGCTGAAGGTTTGAGTTGCCAAACGTCAGCCTCGAAACCTTAATGACTTGGAGAAGATCTGCAAAGAGGAGTGGAACAAAATCCCTCCTGAGATGTGTGCAAACCTGGTGGCCAACTACAAGAAACGTCTGAGCTCTGTGATTGCCAACAAGGGCTTTGCCACCAAGTACTAAGTCATGTTTTGCAGAGGGGTCAAATACTTATTTCCCTCATTAAAATGCAAATCAATTTATAACATTTTTGACATGCGTTTTTCTGGATTTTGTTGTTGTTATTCTGTCTCTCACTGTTCAAATAAATGTACCAATAAAATTATAGACTGATCATGTCTTTGTCAGTGGGCAAACGTACAAAATCAGCAGGGGATCAAATACTTTTTTACCTCACTGTGTATTTTCCCAAATGTTTTCTCAGTTTTGTTTTTCCTGGCTTTAGATTGTTTGTTTTTTTCACTCTCAAAATTACAATTGTCCATAGAGAAACAACAGAATTGGATATTCTGAGTCCATGTCAATGGTTAACACATCTGTGGCGAGTGATTTGAAAGGAGTCAGGCGCAGGAGGGTAAATCACAGAATAAAAGGGTTTATTCCGAAGGCACAGCGGTACGCAGCAATGCGTCAAACACTCCAGTGCGTAATCAGGCGCACTGGGAAACAACAAGGCACAAGTGTGAAATATCCCGGCGATACAAAATACAAGGAGCTCCACCGAGCTAAACTAACCTCCACAATAAACAATCACACACAAAGACAAGGGGGCAGAGGGAACACTTATACAGGTACTGATGAGGGGATATGAACCAGGTGTGTGTAATAAACAAGACAAAACAAATGGAATGATGAGATGAGGAGCAGCAGTGGCTAGAAGGCCGGTGACGATGAATGCCGAAGCCTGCCCGAACAAGGAGAGGAGGCAGCTTCGGAGGAAGTCGTGACAACATCAGAAGGTCTGAAAGAAAACTAACACATTCATTTTTTTGTGTACTTCCCCTTTAGTTGTACATCTGGCCCTTTAATTGTGCATCTGGCCCTTTAATTGTGCATCTGGCCATTTAATTGTCTAGTGAGTGAGGAATGTGCCGTCTAATGGTCCGGTCAAGCGATGGTTCTGTACTGCTGCTGCTCATTTCATAGCTACAAATTATATACTTACTCATTATATACTTCTGCCAGGCAAGCCTACTTTGCAGTTAACATTTAATTGAGAAGGTTTGGGGAAAGTATTACTCTCAACCCACCAAACCATTATCACATCAACTGGCTACAAACGGAGTGATAGACAAACACGTGCACCACACAGACAGACAGGGGCCATATTGCTGAAAAATATTTGGCAGATATTGTGTTAGGTTTGGCTTTTTAATCCAATAGTGGCTAACCAGGGGTGGGATAATGTAAATGTTGCCTTGATTAGATAGTAGCTGGGAGCTTGCGTTGTCGGATACTTGTGAAATTTGTTTATGACAGTTTGCGATGGAACACATGAAAAATTTCATATACTTTCTGAATTGTTTGGCGACTACTAGCATACTTACATAGCTTGCTATCGACCTGTGCACCACTTTGGGGCCCAAGGACCAGGATTGAGAAACACTGTCCTACATTATGGTCTAGTAGTCCAGTATACTATGACCACTACTCTCCACAGTCACCTAGTACTTCACAAGTCATCTGGTTTAGAACATGTACGTACCAGAAAGCATATATTGGAGAGGGAGAGGGAGATGATGAGGGAGTGGTGAACGAGAAGGCGGAGAAGAGAAGGCAGAGGAGAAGAGAGTAGGCAGAGCAGGAAGAAAGAGACGAGAGAGAGAAGAGAGAGATAGGAGAGAGAGAAAGAATACAAGATATAGATATAGCCTCCGTCTTCTATAATTACCGACAGAATAGAGACTCGAGAGATAGATCGCTTCTTGCGCTCTCTCCTCTCTCTCTTCTCAGGCTCGCTCCTCTCTCTCTCGTCTCTCGCTTTTTCGCTCTCGCTCTCTCTCTGCCCGGCTCATCTCCTCTCGAGAGACATCGAGCATAAGAGCGCCTATAGAACGACAGATCCCTCGACTAGAGAGAGAGAGATAGAGAGAGACAGAGAGAGCAGAGAGAGGGAGAGAGAGAGACAGAGAGAGAGAATCCGGCTCAAAGTTTTCCAATCAGTTATAGAACCAATTGCTCTATATGGCAGCGAAGTATGGGGTCCGCTCTCTAATACTGAATTTACCAAATGGGACAAACATCCAATCGAAATACTGCATGCAGAGTTTTGCAAGACTGTATTGCAAGTGCAAAGAAAAACTCCAAATAACGCATGTAGAGCAGAATTGGGCCAATACCCCCTAATCTTATTCGAATAGAAAAAAGAGCCATCAAATTTTACAACCATCTAAAAACAAGTGACCCCAAAACATTCCATCACACAGCTCTACTATCTCAAGAGATGAAACAAGAGAAGAGTCCCCTCAGCCAGCTGGTTCTGAGGCTCAGTTCACTAACCAAAACCAACCTCATAGAGCCTCAAGACAGCACTCAGAAAATCTGGCCCAACCAAATCATCACAACACAAAAAGAAAAATATATCACCTATTAGAAAGACACCACAAAAAATCTAAATCTAAACAGACAGTACATGGTGGCAGACTATCTGACCACTGTGACTGATAGAACATTGAGGAAAACAATGACTAGGTACAGACTCAGTGAGCACAGTCTGGCTATAGAGACCGGTTGTCACAGGCAAACCTGGCTGCCCAGAGAGGACAGGCTGTGCTCACTCTGCCTCCGGGAAGAGGTAGAGACAGAGCTGCATTTCCTACTACACTGTGAAAAATACTCAGACCTAAGAGAATCTATCTTTCCCAAAATTATCATTCAGTACAAAAAATTTGAAACTATAAAAGAGGAAGAAAAAATCCAATATCTATTGGGTGAAAAGTCAAAATGTGCAATTTTGGCAGCCAACGTGTCCTCCTGCCACAACCTGAGGGACAGCCAGTGAAAAGTGTAATATAATGTCAATAATATTTACTGTTTTGTTTTGGCTTTCATACCATGTAATGTGTCTTATCAGTCATGTTGAGATTGGTCGACTACTATTGCTTTAATGTATTGTTATTCTCATTAATATTGTTGTTGTAGTTGCTGTTAATGGTAATCCCATTTCCACTACTACTATTATTATTATTGCTGTTGGTCCCACCATTTTTGTTATATCTATACTTTGACAATGTAAGTAATTTTACTTGCCATGTCAATAAAGTATATTGAATTGAATTGAATTGAGAGAAAGAGAGAGAGAGACAGAGAGAGACAGAAAGAGAGAGACAGAGAGAGACAGAGAGAAAGAGAGAGAGAAAGAGACAGACAGAGAGAGAAAGAGAGAGAGAGAAAGAGAGAGACAGACAGAGAGAGACAGAGAGAGAGAAAGAGACAGACAGAGAGAGAAAGAGAGAGAGAGAGAGAGAGAGAGAGACAGAAAGAGAGAGAGAGACAGAGAGAGAGCGAGAGAGAGGGGATGCTATAGTATTCAAATACTTACAGTACATCTATCTTTCATTCTTCTGTGCCTCCACTATGCCTCCACTATCTCAGTACCCTGTCATTCAACATTTATTCTCTCCTCAGTATCCCCCTCTCTCACTTCACTATCTCCTCTTCCCCATTCCACTACCATTTGCTGTTGGCCAATTCAGGCTGGATGAATATTCATGCAATGCTTACATGGCAGGGTTGATAGTGGGTGTGAAACACACATGCATGCACACACACACACACACTGCTGTGAGCAGTTTATTTGTGTTCTCTCTGACTCAGCGCTTTAGCTCTAGTCCATGTGTCAGATATGAACAGAGGGAGAACACACACACACACACACACACACCCTACCCCCACACACACTCAGGGGGACGCAGCTGCTACCGCCTCTGCTGCCTGTCACACACGTATGTGACAAATAACATGTGATTTGATGTCAGTGTGTTTATGTGTGTCTGCCCCCTTAGCACATGTGCAAACGCTAACCAATCATTTACACTCCATTGCCAATTATGTGCAATCATCAGCCATTTTTAAATATAAATGTTCTATCTCTGTTTTTGATGATCACATTGGCTCACACAGTACGGTATAGAAAAGCACCCAGACCCAGTAAAGTAGTAGTAATAATAGTAATAATAATAATAATAATAATAATAATATATTCCATTTAGCAGGTAGTTTTATCCAAAGCAAAAACGAATTGTATGGGTGGCCCCAGTAGGAATCAAACCCACAATCCTACTGTTGCAAGCGCCATGTTCTATCAACTGAGTCACAGCAAGGTGTTTGTTGATATGCCTCCTCCCTGTCCCTTGCTCCTTGGGGTATTTATGAGAGGTATAAGGTTGGACAGCCAATATCCTTTAGCCCAGGAGATGGAGTGTGTTGTGTTCATCAGGCCTCAGAATCTCCCTTACAGACTTTTCTGCAGTGAAACAGATGCCCTCTCTGGAGACAGACAGCCTCCTCCTTCAGCTTGCCTCCGAACCTCCCCGTTCAACCTCCCCCCACAGCCTTCTCCCTCCCCCAATTTCTGCTGAGTCATGACTGACAGGCCAGGGCCCCTGGGAGTAATCAAAAGGGGACCAACGCGCTCTCCCAGAAGCTTGGCTGGTGCGTAAAACCTGTGAATTCAGACAAATAAAAGGAGGGGAGGGGAGGGGAGGGGAGGATGAGTGTGGTAGAGGAGACAATGCTCGTTTTAACCCTGTGTGTAATTATGCAAAATGTTTTATTGTACCACTTCTTCCAATCCACTATAGTATGTGAATGTGTAGTCCATTGTCCAGCTTGCCTTTGTAACAGCCTGTGGTATAATGCATAGTTAGAGAAAGCTAAGGGTCACAGATAGTCATACTGTACAGTCATAAGTGATGCACATAATGTGTGTGTGTGTGTGTGTGTGTGTGTTTGTGTGTGTGTGTGCTTGTGTATGTGTGTGTGTGTGTGCGTGCGTGTCATAGATTATGATTCACATAGCTGCTGCAGTGACTCCAGGCTTTGTTGCTTCACTGCACGGCCACGACTTCATCAACCTCGTTCCCTCACTAATACATAATGTTACTGACTAGCTGGGAATATTAATCTGAATAAAAATGTCATAAATCAGGAGAAATGAATTTCCACTCAGCGAATGAGTGTTACTTACAGTGCATTCGGAAAGTATTCAGACCCCTTCACTTTTTTCACATTTTGTTACGTTACAGCCTTATTCTAAAATGGATTAAATTTGTATTTTTCCTCATCAATCTACACACAATACCCCATAATGAAAAAGCAAAAACAGGTTTTTAGAAAATTTTGCAAATGTATTACAAATAAAAAACACATATCAAATTTACATAAGTATTCAGACCCTTTACTCAGTACTTTGTTGAAGCACCTTAGGAAGCGATAACAGCCTTGAGTCTTCTTGGGTATGACGCTACAAGCTTGGCACACTTGTATTTGGGGAGTTTCTCCCATTCTTCTCTGCAGATCCTCTCATGCTCTTTCAGGTTGGATGGTGAGCGTCGCTGCACAGCTATTTTCAGGTCTCTCCAGAGATGTTCGATTGGGTTCAAGTCCGGGCTCTGGCTGGGCCACTCAATGACATTCAGAGACTTGTCCCGAAGCCACTCCTGCGTTGTCTTGGCTGTGTGCTTAGGGTTGTTGTCCTGTTGGAAGGTGAACCTTCACCCCATTCTGAGGTCCTGAGTGCTCTGGAGCAGGTTTTCATTAATGATGTCTCTGTACTTTGTTCCGTTCATCTGTCCCTCGATCCTGACTAGTCTCCCAGTCTCTGCCGCTGAAAAACATCCCCACAGCATGATGCTGCCACCACCATGCTTCACTGTAGGGATGGTGCCAGGTTTTCTCCATACGTGACGCTTGGCATTCAGGTCAGAGAGTTCAATCTTGGTTTCATCAGACCAGATAATGTTGTTTCTCATGGTCTGAGAGTTCTTTAGGTGCCTTTTGGCAAACTCCAAGCAGGCTGTCAAGTGCCTTTTACCGGGAAGGGGCTTCCGTCTGGCCACTCTACCACAAAGGCCTGATTGGTGGAGTACTGCAGAGATGGTTGTCCTTCTGGGAGGTTCTCCCATCTCCACAGAGGAACTCTGGAGCTCTGTCAGAGTGACCAACGGGTTCTTGGTCACCTCCCTGTCCAAGGCCCTTCTCCCCCGATTGCTCAGTTTGGCCGGGAGGCCAGCTCTAGGAAGAGTTTTGGTGGTTCCAAACTTCTTCCATTTAAGAATGATGGAGGCCACTGTGTTCTTGGGGACCTTCAATGCTGCAGAAATATTTTGGTACCCTTCCCCAGATCTGTGCCTCCACACAATCCTGTCCCGGAGCTCTACGGACAATTCCTTCAACCTCATGGCTTGGTTTTTGCTCTGACATGCATTGTCAACTGTGGGACCTTATATAGACTGGCGTGTGCCTTTCCAAATAATGTCCAACTAATCGAATTTACCACAGGTGGACTCCAATCAAGTAGAAACATCTGAAGGATGTTCAATGGAAACTGGACGCACTTGAGCATAATTTCGAGTCTCATAGCAAAAGGTCTGAATACTTATGTAAATAAGGTATTTTTTAAATATTTTTTAATACATTTGCAAACATTTCTGAATACCTGTTTTCGCTTTGTCATCATGAGTTATTGTGTGTAGATTGATGAGGAAAAAATATAATTTAATCCATTTCAGAATAAGGCTATAACGTAACAAAGAATGGAAAAAGTCAAGGGGTCTGAATACTTTGCAAATGTACTGTAGTTTACTTGCAGCATTTTGATGGATATGTTAAATATTCAATGGATGATTATTCAGCATATTTTCATTTGACATTTTAGTCATTTAGCAGACGCTCTTATCCAGAGCGACTTACAGTTAGTGAGTGCATACATTTTTTCATACTGGCCCTCCGTGAGAATCGAACCCACAACCCTGGCGTTGCAAACGCCATGCTCTACCAACTGAGCTACACGGGGCCCTGTGTACTTTAATTGTCCCTTTTAATTGCCGTTTTATCGACAATATGGAATCCATATTACGTTTATTATGGTGTGTGTCTGCCTTGTGTGTTTGTGGTTCCATGTTTGAAAGCGAGAAAAAATTACATAGGGAGAGAGAGAGAGAGGAAAAGAGGGCGAGAGAGATTGAGTGAGTGTGAGATAGGGAGATAAAGATAGTGAGGATGGCAGAACACAGGGTGTGCGTGTGTGAATGTGGTTTTGTGAGCATGAGTAAAGATTTGAGAGGCTTTAAGTGGTTTGAGCGTACTGGCCCAAAAAGGATGTGATGCTTACATAAGTGAGTGTTGCCCAGTGCAGTGGAAGTAAGAGGCACTGGCACAGTCCAGTAGAGACAGACTGAGAGACAGCACCCTGCTAGGGTGATCACTTCCCTCTGCTGGGTGGAAGAACACACTACCACAGCACAGGATATAGGGGCTGTTGCCCGGAAACAGATTAAGCCTAGCCCTGGATTTAAAAGTACTTTTATTTAGCTTTCTTTTAATCCAGGACTAGGCTAAATCTTTTACTCAGAAACCGTCCCCCATAGTACCACACATATTCTTTATCAATCACAGTACTGTGTAATGATTAACCTGGTGTGTGGTTACTGGTGTACATTTGCAATGCCTTGTATGTATTCCAGACTGGAATATGTTCTGGGATTCATCTAATGGCATTGAAGAGTTTACCACATCAGTCACCGGCTTCATTAATAAGTGTATTGACGACTTCGTCTCCACAGTGACCGTACGTACATATCCCAACCAGAAGCCATGGATTACAGGCAACATCCGTACTGAGCTAAAGGCTAGAGCTGCTGCTTTCAAGGAGCGGGACACTAATCCGGACGCTTATAAGAAATCATCAAATAGGCAAAGTGTCAATACAGGACCAAGATCGAATCCTACTACACCTGCTCTGATGCTCGTCGGATGTGGCAGTGCTTGCAAACTATCACGGATTACAAAGGGAAACCCAGCCACGAGCTGTCCAGTGATGCTAGCCTACCAGACAAGCTAAATACATTGTATGCTAGAAACACTTAACCATGCATGAGAGCACCAGCTGTTTTGGATGACTTAGAACAAAATCTGCTCATGCTCTCCGTAGCCGATGTGAGTAAGAACTTTAAACAGGTTAACATTCACAAGGCCGTAGGGCCAGACGGATTACCAGGACGCGTACTCAGAGCATGCACTGACCAGCTGGAAAGTGTCTTCACTGACATTTTCAACCTCTCCCTGAGGAGTCCCTGTGCCCAAGAACACTAAGGTAACCTGTCTAAATGTCTATCACCCCGTAGCACTCACATCTGTAGCCATGAAATGCTTTGAAAGGCTGGTCATGGCTCACATCAACAACATCATCCCAGACACCCTGGACCCCCTCCAATTTGCATACCACCCCAACAGATCCAGAGATGATGCAATCTTTATTGCACTCCACACTGCCCTTTCCCATCTGGACAAAAGGAACACCTATATGAGAATCAGTGGTGGTCGGTGCCATTTAAGATTAGGGAGGACACACCTTTTTTTAATGAACATGGCCTTATTTTTATAACAGCATATTGGAAGACTGTCATTCATATTACATTCACCCAGCTCAATGTAACATTGATAGGTTTAGGTTACTATATGGTACTCACATTTTCCCTATCATGAGGTTGCTACAACCTAGCCTATGAATGAAAGTTTACAACGTAGGTGGACAGGTCGAGAGAAATTTGAGTAGTCAAGGTGACAGATATTGACACATTCAATACCGCCTTGCACAATCTTGCCTGCATTTAGCTGATCTAGGGTGTAATCATTAGTCCAACAGTTGTAAACAAAAGTTTCTATTGGACAAATTCAGGTATGTTTATCCACGTTTCGTTCCATTTGCTTCCGTTTAAGATTTTATTTTCAACAGAATCAGCGGAACCTTACAGTGAAATGCTTACTTACAAGCCCTTAACCAAAAATGCAGTTTTAAGAAAGAATACAAAGAAATAAAATAAAAATACAATATTAAATAATACGAAATAAAAGTAACAAATAATTAAAGAGCAGCAGTAAAAATAACAATAGCGAGGCTGTATACAGGGGGTACCGGTACTGTGTCAATGCGCAAGGTAATTGGGGTAATATGTACATGTAGGTAGAGTTATTAAAGTGACTATGCATGGATAATAAACAGAGAGTAGCAGCAGCGTAAAAGAGGGGTGGGGGGCAATGCAAATAGTCTGGGTAGCCATTTGATTAGATGTTCAGGAGTCTTATGGCTTGGGGGTAGAATCTGTTTAGAAGCCTCTTGGACCTAGACTTGGCGCTCCGGTACCGCTTGCCATGTGGTAGCAGAGAAAACAGTCTATGACTTGGGTGGCTGGAGTCTTTGACAATTTTTAGGGCCTTCCTCTGACAACGCCTGGTATAGAGGTCCTGGATGGCAGGAAGCTTGGCCCCAGTGATGTACTGGGCCGTACACACTACCCTCTGTAGTGCCTTGCGGTCGGAGGCCGAGCAGTTGCCATACCAGGCAGTGATGCAACCAGTCAGGATGCTCTCGATGGTGCAGCTATAGAACCTTTTGAGGATCTGAAGACCCATGCCAAATCTTTTCAGTCTCCTTAGGGGGAATAGGTTTTGTCGTGCCCTCTTCACGACTGTCTTGGTGTGCTTGGACCATGTTAGTTTGTTGGTATGTGGACACCAAGGAACTTGAAGCTCTCAAGCAGCTCCACTACAGCCCCGTCGATGAGAATGGGGGTGTGCTCGGTCCTCTTCTTTTTCCTGTAGTCCACAATCATCTCCTTTGTCTTGAACACATTGAGGGAGAGGTTGTTGTCCTGGCACCACACAGTCAGGTCTCTGACCTCCTCCCTATAAGCTGTCTCGTCGTTGTCGGTGATCAGGCCTACCACTGTTGTGTCATTGGCAAACTTAATGATGGTGTTGGAGTCGTGCCTGGCCATGCAGTCATGAGTGAACAGGGAGTACAGGAGGGGACTGAGCACACACCCGTGAGGGGCCCCCGTGTTGAGGATCAGCGTGGCGGATGTGTTGTTACCTACCCTTACCACCTGGGGGCGGCCCGTCATGAAGTCCAGGATCCAGTTGCAGAGGGAGGTGTTTAGTCCCAGGGTCCTTAGCTTAGTGATGAGCTTTGAGGGCAATATGGTGTTGAACGCTGAGCTGTAGTCAATGAATAGCATTCTCACATACAGTGGGGAGAACAAGTATTTGATACACTGCCGATTTTGCAGGTTTTCCGACTTACAAAGCATGTAGAGGTCTGTAAAATCACATTGTATGATTTTTAAGTAATTCATTTGCATTTTATTGCATGACATAAGTAGTTGATACATCAGAAAAGAAGAACATAATATTTGGTACAGAAACCTTTGTTTGCAATAACAGAGATCATACATTTCCTGTGGGTCTTGACCAGGTTTGCACACACTGCAGCAGGGATTTTGGCCCACTCCTCCATACAGACCTTCTCCAGATCCTTCAGGTTTCGGAGCTGTCGCTGGGCAATACGGACTTTCAGCTCCCTCCAAAGCTTTTCTATTGGGTTCAGGTCTGGAGACTGGCTAGGCCACTACAGGACCTTGAGATGCTTCTTACGGAGCCACTCCTTAGTTGCCCTGGCTGTGTGTTTCGGGTCGTTGTCATGCCGGAAGACCCAGCCACGACCCATCTTCAATGCTCTTACTGAGGGAAGGAGGTTGTTGGCCAAGATCTCGCGATACATGGCCCCATCCATCCTCCCCTCAATACGGTGCAGTCATCCTGTTCCCTTTGCAGAAAAGCATCCCCAAAGAATGATGTTTCCACCTCCATGCTTCACGGTTGGGATGGTGTTCTTGGGGTTGTACTCATCCTTCTTCTTCCTCCAGACACGGCGAGTGGAGTTTATACCAAAAAGCTCTATTTTTGTCTCATCAGACCACATGACCTTCTCCCATTCCTCCTCTGGATCATCCAGATGGTCATTGGCAAACTTCAGACGGGCCTGGACATGCGCTGGCTTGAGCACGGGGGCCTTGCGTGCGCTGCAGGATTTTAATCCATGACGGCGTAGTGTGTTACTAATGGTTTTCTTTGAGACTGTGGTCCCAGCTCTCTTCAGGTCATTGACCAGGTCCTGTAGTTCTGGGCTGATCCCTCACCTTCCTCATGATCATTGATGCCCCACAAGGTGAGAACTTGCATGGAACCCCAGACCGAGGGTGATTGACCGTCATCTTGAACTTCTTCCATTTTCTAATAACTGATTGCGCCAACAGTTGTTGCCTTCTCACCAAGCTGCTTGCCTATTGTCCTGTAGCCCATCCCAGCCTTGTGCATGTCTACAATTTTATCCCTGATGTCCTTACACAGCTCTCTGGTCTTGGCCATTGTGGAGAGGTTGGAGTCTGTTTGATTGAGTGTGTGGACAGGTGTCTTTTATACAGGTAACGAGTTCAAACAGGTGCAGTTAATACAGGTAATGAGTGGAGAACAGGAGGGCTTCTTAAAGAAAAACTAACAGGTCTGTGAGAGCCGGAATTCTTACTGGTTGGTAGGTGATCAAATACTTATGTCATGCAATAAAATGCAAATTAATTACTTAAAAATCATACAATGTGATTTTCTGGATTTTTGTTTTAGATTCCGTCTCTCACAGTTGAAGTGTACCTATGATAAAAATTACAGACCTCTACATGCTTTGTAAGTAGGAAAACCTGCAAAATCGGCAGTGTATCAAATACTTGTTCTCCCCACTGTAGGTGTTCCTTTTGTCCAGGTGTGAAAGGGCAGTGTGGAGCGCAATAGAGATTGCATCATCTGTGGATCTGTTGGGGCGATATGCAAATTGGAATGGGTCTATGGTTTCTGGGATAATGGTGTTGATGTGAGCCATGACCAGCCTTTCAAAGCACTTCATGGCTACAGACGTGAGTGCTACGGGTCGGTAGTCATTTAGGCAGGTTACCTTAGTGTTCTTGGGCACAGGGACTATGGTGGTCTGCTTGAAACATGTTGGTATTACTGACTCAGACAGGGAGACACTTGCCAGTTGGTCAGTGCATGCTCAGAGTACACGTCCTGCTAATCCGTCTGGCCCTGCGGCCTTGTGAATGTTGACCTGTTTAAAGGTCTTACTCACATTGGCTACGGAGAGCGTGATCACACAGTCATCTGGAACAGCTGATGCTCTCATGCATGTTTCAGTGTTACTTGCCTCGAAGCGAGCATAGAAGTAATTTAGCTCGTCTGGTAGGCTCGTGTCACTGGGCAGCTCATGGCTGTGCTTCCCTTTGTAGTCTGTAATAGTTTGCAAGCCCTGCTACATCCGACGAGCGTCGGAGCCGGTGTAGTACGATTCGATCTTAGTCCTGTATTGACGCTTTGCCTGTTTGATGGTTCGTCGGAGGGCATAGCTGAATTTCTTATAAGCTTCCGGGTTAGAGTCCCGCTCCTTGAAAGCGGCAGCTCTACCCTTTAGCTCAGTGCAGATGTTGCCTGTAATCCATGGCTTCTGGTTGGGGTATGTACGTACGGTCACTGTGGGGACGACATCATCGATGCACTTATTGATGAAGCCAGTGACTGATGTGGTGTACACCTCAATGCCATCGGAAGAATCCCTGAACATATTCCAGTCTGTGCTAGCAAAACAGTCCTGTAGCTTAGCATCTGCTTCATCTGACCACTTTTCTATTGACCGAGTCACTGGTGCTTCCTGCTTTAGTTTTTGCTTGTAAGTAGGAATCAGAAGGATAGAATTATGGTCAGATTGTCCAAATGGAGGGCGAGGGAGAGCATTGTACGTGTCTCTGTGTATGGAGTAAAGGTGGTCTAGAGTTTTTTTCCCTCTGGTTGCACATTTAACATGCTGGTAGAAATGAGGTAAAACGGATTTAAGTTTCCCTGCATTTCCCACTAGGAGCGTCGCCTCTGGATGAGCATTTTCCTGTTTGCTTATGGCCGTATACAGTTCATTGAGTGCGGTCTTAGTGCCAGCATCGGTTTGTGGTGGTAAATAGACAGCTACGAAGAATATAGATGAAAACTTTCTTGGTAGATAGTGTGGTCTACAGCTTATCATGAGATACTCTACCTCAGGCGAGCAAAACCTTGAGACTTCCTTAGATATTGTGCACCAGCTGTTGTTTACACAAATACGTAGACCGCCACCCCTTGTCTTACCAGAGGCTGCTGTTCTATCCTGCCGATACATGTCATCCTTCTAGCCACCACTCGGTGAAACACAAGATATTACAGTTTTTAATGCCCCGTTGGTAGGATATACGTGCCTGTAGTTCGTCCATTTTATTATAAAGCGATTGTAAGTTGGCCAATAGTATCATTGGCAAAGGCAGATTAGCCACTCGTCGCCAGCTCCTTACCAAGCACCCCGATCTCCTTCCGCGATATCTCCTTTTCTTTCTACTGCGAATGACGGGATGAGGGCCCTGTCAGGTGTCTGGAGCAAATCCCTCTCGTCCGACTCATAAAATAACAATTATTCGTCCAGTTCAAGGTGAGTAATCGCTGTTCTGATGTCCAGAATCTCTTTTCGGTCATAAGAGATGGTAGCAGCATGATTATGTACAAAATAAGTAACAAATTAATGTGAAAAAACACACAAAATAGCACGGTTGTTTAAGAGTCCATAAAACGGCAGCCATCCCCTCCGGCGCCATCTCGTCATGTCATCATAGCTACTAGAACTAACACGATAGTAAACCCTCTACAATCATGCAGTACAGTGTACAGTTATCAGGCAGTATAGCAGTTACACCGGCGGGCCCCGGTGGTAGTAAATTCATAAAACCAAAAGCGTACCTTGACTTGGAAGAGTTCCAGTGTTGGATAGCCATAGCCCGCTAGATAACATAGCATCCCTCTCTGTTTGAGTAGGCTAAACTAGCTAGCAGCATTCGTAGCTAAGTAAGTGAAAGTGAAAGAAATACGAAATATAGCTTGCTCTCTCTCTCACTCTCTCTCTCTCTTGCTTCTCCTACATTCATTTGTTCAAAACTGTTCGTAGCTAAGTAAGTGAAAGTGAAAGAAATACGAAATATAGCTTGCTCTCTCTCTCACTCTCTCTCTCTCTTGCTTCTCCTACATTCATTTGTTCAAAACTGTTCAACTATTGTCTTTCTATCTCTTTGAGTCAACTACTCACCACACTTCATGCACTGCAGTGCTAGCTAGCTATAGCTTATGCTTTCAGTACTAGATTATTTCTCTGATCCTTTGATTGGGTGGACAACATGTCAGTTCATGCTGCAAGAGCACTGAAAGGTTGGAGGACATCCTCCAGAAGTTGTCATAATTACTGTGTAAGTCTATTTTGTATTGAAGTCAACGTGCCCAGAGGAAGATGGAAACAAGCTGACCTCTGGCTACCCATGGTGCTACCCTACAGAGTGCTTTTGAGGCTACTGTGACCTTCATTTCAAAACAGTGTGCTTTAATCAATTATTTGGTGACGTGAATATATTTAGTATAGTTTTATCTAAAAATTATAACTTTTTAAATGTTTCACTATTTTTATTTTTATGAAATTCACTGAGGAGGATGGTCCTCCGCTTCCTCCTCTGAGGAGCCTCCACTGGTGAGAATGCTGTTCATTGACTACAGCTCAGCGTTCAACACCATAGTGCCCTCCAAACTCATCACTAAACTCAGGACCCTGCGATTAAACACCTTCCTCTGTAACTGCATCTTGGACTTCCTGATGGGCCGCCCCCAGGTGGTGAGGGTAGGCAACAACACATCTACCACGCTGACCCTCAACTCGGGGGCCCCTCAGGGGTGTGTGCTTAGTCCCCTCCTGTACTCCCTGTTTACCCACCACTGTGTGGCCATGCACAACTCCAACACCATCATTACGTTTGCAGACGATACAACGGTGGTAGGCCTGATCACACAACGGTGGTAGGCCTGATCATCGATGGCGATGAGAGCCTACAGGGAGGCGGTCAGCAACTTGGCAGTGTGGTGCCAGGACAACAACTTCTCCCTCAAATTCAGCAAGACAAAGGAGCTGATTGTGGGCTACAGGAAACGGAGGGCCGAACACGCCCCCATCCACATCGACGGGCTGAAGTGGAGCAGGTCGAGAGCTTCAAGTTCCTCGGTGTCCACGTCACTAAGGAATTATCATGGTCCACACATAACAACACAGTTGTGAAGAGGGCACGACAATGCCTCTTCTCCCTCAGGAGGCTGAAAAGATTCGGCATGGGCCCTCAGATCCACAGAAAGTTCTACAGCTGCACAATTGAGAGCATCTTGACTTTCTGCATCACCGCTTGGTACGGCAACTGCTTGGCATCCGACCACAAGGCACTACAGAGGGTATTGCGTATGGCCCAGTACATCATTGGGGTCGAGCTCCCTGCCATCCAGGACCTCTATACCAGGCGGTGTCAGAGGAAGGCCTTACAAATGGTCAAAGACTCCAGCCACCCAAGTCATAGACTGTTCTCTTTGCTACTGCATGGCAAGATGTACCGATGCACCAAGTCTGGAAATAAACAGGACCCTGAACAGCTTCTACCCCCAAGCCATAAGACTGCTAAATAGTTAACCAATAGCTGCCCGGACTATCTGGATTGACCCTTTTTGCACTAACTCTTCTGACTCATCACGTATGCTGCTGTTACTGTTTATTATCTATCTTGCCTAGACACTTTTCCCTACCTATATGTACATATCTACATCAATTACTTCGTACCCCCGCACATTGACTCGGTACTGATACCCCATGTATATAGCCAAGTTATTGTTACTCATTATGTATTTATTTTTTAAATGTTTATATTATTTCTATTTGTTTTAATTATCTTTGCATTGTTGGGAAGGGCCCGTAAGTAAGCATTTCACTGTAAGTCTACACCTGTTGTTTACGAAGCATGGGACAAATACAAATTTGATTTGATTTAGATTTGAATATATGGTGAGACTTAATGCTGAAAAGTATTCACCACCAAATAACCTCATGCTCTTTTTCCACGAAGGTTTCCATTATGTTTTAGACTGATTACAGTATGTCTTTGTGTGAGTTTGTGAGGTTCCTTACCGTACCATGAGGTTCCTTACCGTACCATTTTCATCAGAATGGATAGTGATAAATGATTTGAGGGCTGGATGGATGGATAACCAGATGGCTGAAATTCTGTAATGTTCCTCACACATTCTTCTCATGTTCCTCATGGCAGCTCTCACTGTAGCTCATATTCTCCATGTGCGCTACATGTTGTGTAGTGTTCTGATGCTGTGTTCTCCATGCGCTATGTTTTTCTCTGTTGGTTCCGCCCGTGCTACTACAGCTGCTGGATGCCAGGAGAACCAAGGTTTGTCCCTATGTTTGCAACCGCTGCCCTGGCTGCCGTGTATGCACAACATAGAGTCACCACCAGTGTGACGTCGTGGAGTGTCTTCAGTACCCCAGAGACCTGGCTGTCCTGTTCCTCTGCCCCCACACACACCCCTGGGCTGTGTTGGAAATGGCACCTATTCCCAATATAGTGCACTACATTTGTCCAGAGCTTGTGTGCTCTGGCTAAAAGTAGTACACTAGGCCTATATTGGGAATAGGGTGCCATTTTGGACTCAGCCTTAATTGGACCCCTATACACACACCAGAAAGGAGTGTGATTGGTTTAGCCTGCACCGTTCCCTAAGGTCTACCCGTGTCCATCAGACCCTCTCCCTGCTCTTACACACTGCCAAGTTGAATTCTTCGGTGTTCTCCCTCGACACCCTATAGTATACTCTAAAATAGGCTGTGTTTTATGGAATGCTGTTTGGGTCTTTAAGTGTCAAAAACGGTACATGTCAAATAACACTATTGTACGTGTCAAATAACCTTGTTGATCAATCAGGACCTGAATATGAGTGCACGTTACATAATAATTGAACGCGTTCATTAATTTTTTACGTAGTTATTACACATTGATTACACTATCACTCGTATTTTATATGTCACAAAGATTCATCAATACGTATGCTATAATGCTGGTAAAGTTTTATCTCGCACACCTACAGTGCTGGTCATTAAAAATAGCTAGCTAGCAGATGGATGCAAATGTTCTTCCCCAAAAGCAAAACGACATAATCTGTTTCAGTAGCTATAGATAGCTAGCTAACTATCTAGCTAGGTGTCATCTTCTAAAATAACCCTAATTTATCAGACAGTTCTAATTTGATTAATGGTGGTCGGACCCATCTATGTGAAGCTAGCCACAATAAGGATTAGCCACAACAGTGGACTTTGCGGTTAGCCTTCAAAATAAAAGTCGGTCATTGACAGATGCAAATGAATACAAATAGTAGAATTATGCCATAATTGAATAGATCATGCTAAACGAGGTTGGAATGTTGTTATATAAAATCAACAAAATACAATAATTTGTTAATTTGACAAAAATCTGTTAATCACACTGGACGTATAGACTTTAGAATTGCATTGGGGGCATACTTATTTCACTGTACAGCCTTACCTATGGATTGCGGATCAATGACATGGGGTATCAGTCTACTCAGTGACACTCAGAGAACGTTAGCGTCATAGCTCTTATTGCGGGATTCTGAAACAACTGTGAATTGAGCCACATTTATTGTCAACCTACTATGTGTACTGAACACTATTCCAGAGGAAAAACAATACTGCGTGGATGTTTTGGATTCTGATAACTCTGAGGAGGACGTTGGGACAAAAGCTCTTGGGTATTGAGTAGACTGATACTCCATTTCATTGATCCCCAATCCTTAGGTAAGGCTGTACAGTGCCATATGAATGTCAATACACACAATAGGCTGACTGGGGAGGTAATTTCATACGGTCACAGTCCCGCGATAAGAGCTACAATGCTAATATTTGAGTAAACTCTTCACAGTTGTATTCTGTGGGTGTCACTGAGTAGACTGATACCCCATTTCATTGCTTCACATTCCAACCTTGTTGAACATTATTTAGTCAAAATATGGAATGATTCCACCAATTGTAACCTTCTGCATCACTTTCAGAGGTACTTTGAAGAGCTACTTTTATTTTGAAGGCGAATCGCTAATTCCACTATTGTGCCTAATCCTTATTGTGTCTAGCTTCACAACACATAACCCGGTCCGGTCGAGCCTCACTAGCCAGATGAAGCTAGCTGGCTGCTTATAACGTTAGCTTTGGGCAACAGGGTTAAGTAGCTGGCTAGCTATTTATTATTTATTGAACTGAAGTTCAATTTCAATAGGCGAACAACAAGTGGCTACCTAGCTAATACTTACTCGCAAGGATTCCTAAATCATTGCAAAGAATAATGAAAATGACTGCAGTTTCTACTGGTCATTGTTTTCAGGCTGGTTGTATTGGTGCTAGGTAGGTACCAAGCTAAAGCTAGCTAGCTACCCCAGAAGTTGCGGTCGAACAAATAATAGCTTATTTCCAACGCGGTATTGTAAACACATCGGTCGTGGCCGGTGTGTGCTTGTTTGCAGATTTTTTTTGTACAGCTTTGACTGCTACTGATAGGTGCTTGGTTTGCGCGTGCAAATTCAGCACACACAACATTCAATAATATAATTGTGTTATTTGACGTGTCAAATTAAACGTTTTTTAATGCGTCAAATTGTGTTATTTGATGTGTATCTTTTTTGACACGGAAAGACCCAAACGGCGTTCCATAGCGTTTTGTTCAATTTCCCCGCCACCTAAACCCTACGTTTCAATATCCATACTAGTGTACCACTAAGAATGCACGGCCCAATCAATGTATAGTGGCATGCTAGAGTGGATATTGGAACAAAGCCACAGTCTCCTTATTCCTTCATCCTATAATGGATGTGTGGTCTACTACTCTTTTATTTCTCAAGTAGTAACCCTTTGTCCGTTTGAATGCACACACACACATGCATAAGCCACCTTAATTGGACGGGCTTATAGTAATGGCTGGAAGGGAAATAATGGAATGGTATCGAACTCCATGTTTGATACCATTCCATTTACTTCATTCCAGCCATTATTATGAGCTGTCCTCCTCTCAGCAGCCACCAGTTGCACATGCACATACACACACACACACACATACACACACACACACACACAAACACACCTCCCTAACACACAGCAAAATGGATGGGCATGGACCCAGAGGTCCGCTTAGTCTACTGCTGTTGGTTGGTTTCAATCTCTCAGTGGGAACACTGTTTACTGTGCTGTGCATGGATCTCTGCTGCTTCCCTCTCAGCAGGATGGACAGCATACACCCTACAATAATGATAGATAATTATCAATAACGCTGCAAGAATCAGACATTGCAGCAAAGCATTCTTTGAAAGTGCAAGCTGTTGAATGCAACCATCAAACTTTGAACATTTGACAGGATCATCAAACTATTATCGATGGATCATGGTTCTGCAAGTTCTTCACTTTCCTACTATATAGGGAATAGGGTGCCGTTTCGGTTGCACAATCAGTTTCTCCCAGCAACACACCGATTCAGTCGTTCACTGGATGGCTTTGTTTAAATGTGTCTCTCTTAGTATTCCTACCTTCAAAGCTTCTAGAGAGATTCCTAAAGATTAGATTATCGATATACAGTACTGTACATAGATAACCATTTACAGTACACCTTACTCACCCTGAAAATAGTTACAGGAGATGGAAAGCAATGAGCCATATAGTCGATCATGAACAGTATATTAAACACTTGCATTTTATCTATCATTTTCTCATACTGCCATACTTTGTGTAATTTGCATTTTCTCTATTTGTCTTTCATGCCATAGTGAGGTAAGTCCTCAGATTCCTCTCCAAGTTTGTTCTGGAGTAACTATATTTCATAGAGGTTGAATAGATTACAGTGTGTGTTTCTGAGTTTGTGTGTGTTCTTCGTAATACACATCTCCTTTCCACAGGGCCGCCTTCAAAATGCCCCTCCCCTCTCTATAAGATGTATTTTTGTGTGTGAGTTTGCGTGTGCCTGAATATGTCCCTCCATGTGTACATATTCAGTGACCCATCCTAGTCTGATCTGTAATTTAATTGAATCCACCCTAGACTACGTGCTGTGACCCTACCAGATTGAGACTCCTTGATGTGTGTGTGTATGTGTGTGTGAATGTGTGTGTGTTTGTGTGTGTGTGTGTGTGCTTGCATGTGTGTATGTGTGTGTGCGTGTGTGCGTGCTTGCATGTGTGTGTGTGTGTTTGCGTGCTTGCATGTGTGTGTGTATGACCCCCACAGCACCTGCAGCTGACCATCCAGGCCCTACAGGACGAGCTGCGGAACCAGAGGGACCTGAACCACCTGCTGCAGCAGGAGAACGGCGGCCGCTCTGGGGACCACTACACCAACATCGAGCTGACCGAGGAGAACTTCAGACGGCTACAGGCCGAGCACGACCGCCAGGCAAGGAATCTTAATAAATGATTCATAATAAATGAGTGATTAAATAAATGACCAGGGTTGCAAAATTCTGGTAACTTTCCCCAAAATTCCCAGGTTTTTCAGATGCCTTGGTTGTAGGATTTCGAATTCCCTGCTGATTCCCTCCGAGAATTTTGAGAATCTTCCCACCGGGATTTCTAAATCTTCTTCCAACCTGGACATTTTGGAAAGTTACGGAATTTTAGCTACCGTAATGATGACACAATTGATACTTCCTTCCTTTAAAATTCCTTTAAATTCCTTGCGTTCCGTCAGGCCAAAGAGCTGTTCCTCCTGAGGAAGACCTTGGAGGAGATGGAGCTGCGGATCGAGACCCAGAAGCAGACGCTGGGGGCCAGGGATGAGTCCATCAAGAAGCTGCTGGAGATGCTCCAGAGTAAGGGTCTGCCTGGGGGGCCAGGGAGGGTCAATGAGGAGGAGGAGCAGGAGAGAGCCAGGCGCATTGCTGAGGCCGAGGCTCAGCTGGGACACCTGGAGGTCATCTTGGACCAGAAGGAGAAGGAGAACATCCACCTCCGAGAGGTACAAGAGTATATGTCTGCATCCCAAATGGCACCATATTCCTTGTATAGTGCACTACTTTTGACCAGGGCTCTGTAGGAACTATGGTGCCGTTTGGGATGCATCTTATGTAGTGCTTATGGTTAGTATATGTCTAGCTACTGTATGGCCACAGCAGACTCAGAATATATGTAGTGCTATTATACGGCTACTAAATTACTAGTTTCAGAAATCCCACACTGCTTTACTAAAATTGCATTGGCCAGTACTGTACTGTAATACCGTAATATATACCATTTACAGAGAAGACACTTTTATCCAAAGTGACAAGAGTCCACACATTTTGTACAACTCTGTACAACTCTGCTGTTGCTCTGCTGTTGCTAGTGCCATGCTCTTATGAACTGAGCCAAGTACAGGACGACTACAATACATAAGTATAATACAATACTGTAAAATACAATACTCAATTACAATACAGGTGGAAGATGTATGATTCCCATCCCCATGAGCGTGCCACCCTGCTTCAGGCCATGGATGAGGCATGCAATGATTTAAATCCAGACCTATGTCAAGTTTGGATTCGCCATGCCAAAAGGTTTTTCACCAGGTGCATGAACAATGAGGGCCTGTGACCAAATGCTCAAGACAGGTTTGATGCAAACTAGTGCCTGCTAAACATTCTGTTTCTTTCATTTCTTTCATTTGATTACATTGTGAAAGATGTCTTCAATGATCACACCTTTGATCACACATGGGATAAAAATGATGGACATTTTATTTTATTTTATGTTCATTCAATTTGAATTGTTAGTGCAAGTGTATTGCCTAATGTGAAAACAGTGTAATGTACTGTAATTTACAGTACTGTAGCATACTACATTCAAAGGGCAATTTTGAAATATGTATCTTAAATTTTTTGCTATTGGAATAACTGGTTGCTAAAATAACTAGATTGAGAATATAGCATTATGTTGTTTTGGTGATTAAACCAATATAATCATTATATTTCACAATAAAATGTTGGACCAATGGTTGTGTGGTGAAAGATGTCTACAAACAAATTGAATGCACATTGGAAGGTTTTGAATGTAAGACTGGCTGTGTTACAAGTGTTACCAGTTTGGAGTTTTGTACTAAGAGTTTTGAAAATTCACGAAATACTACCAAAGTGATTCAGAAAAACTTTAAATAGCCAAAACTATATAGTTTCTAAATGGCCACATTAGACCTGGTCTACTTGGTCAGGGTAGCCTCTGTAGGCACTGGTCTCACCTGTGTTTGAGGTGTTACTGATAGCGCCGAGTCATGTTGTTTGTTCACAACTGGTTTTAAAGCATACGTTTTTAGGACTTCAAGGCAATTTCCACAATTTTCTTCTAACCTACAGTGTATGTCCATCAACACTAGAGGGCAATACTGGCCTTCTCTTTGTGTACCTACTGTGCTCTGACTGCAGTGAAAGGAGCAGTGTTCAATCTGTGTACAGTATTATTGTCAACAGAGAAGTAAATGACTGATGTAATGGTAGTGCAAGTCAGTGCTGTCACTCTAGTATTGGGCTAAGTCAAGCTGTCATTACCCATGCATTTGGAGAGATTCAGGGCCCATATTCATAAAGCATCTCAGAGTAGGTGTGCAGATCTAGGATCAGGTTCCCCCTGTCCATGTAATCTTATTCATTGTGATCCAAAAAGCTAAACTGAACCTAGATCAGCACTGCTATTCTGAGATGGTTCATTAATACAGGCCCATTGCACTAGGTCCTAAGAGAGGCGACATTTGATGCTTGTCTTGTCCATTTCATATCAACTGGTGTTCTCCCAGGAACTGCACAGGAGAAACCAGATGCACCAGGACCCTGGCAAAACCAAAGCCCTCCAGACCATCATAGAGATGAAGGTAAGAACCATGGGGCATTATGGGTAGTGTAGTACACCTGGCTGGCACTATCACTGAGACCAACCATGTAGTCAGATGAAATACGAAAACCTTAGAGCTCGGAAAAGACAGATTTTGCTTGTATTGAATAAACTTTGAGTCTGTCAATAGCTCTGGACGCCCAGGCTCGTTCAACGACACAAGATTTGGAAGGATGACCTCGTGAGACTAGTCGGTGGATGATGTTGTAATGTTACATACCATAAAAAAGCTATCAAAAATGTATTCAAAGCACTAACTGAGCCACTGCAGAGCCCATTGGCCCACTGTAGCAGCAGAGCTGTGATATCACTTCTAAATATAAAGCATGCGCTCACAGCCCGCCAGCATGCCACTCTCTCACACACCACATCATCAGATGGAGCTGGATTGGTGCTGAGCAAACCCCAGCATCCCCTAGCACAGTCACGTGACTCTCCTCTAGCATCGTCACATGACATGCTGGCTCCTGGAGGCTCTGGATTTGCATACAGAGCAGAGCCCCGCTCCCTTCCATCCTCGGTGGAGGAACTCCCCGCTCCTCTCTGCTCTCTCCCACAGCCGTCTTGGTGCTGATGTTAGCATGAGTAATGCTCTCATCCCCCCCCTCTCTCTACTATCTCGGTCTCTAGGATCTCTTTCTCTCTCTCTCGATCTCTTTCTCTCTATCTCACCCTGTCTTTCAAATTTCCTCTCTCTATCCCTCTCTCATTCTCTCTCTCCCTCCCTCCCTCACACACCAGGGAGAGCACATTCTGCCTGCTGCTACCATGGAAACAGGTGTGGTTGTTTATGACAGCGAGGCCAGTAGCACAAGGAGGAGAGAGAGAAAGTGATTCAGATAGAAAGAGAGAGATAGAGTGTGCATGAGAGCATTACATCCTCTGCTTGATCAGCTTGATCTACTGTAGCAGTGAAAGCATTTGGATGGCATGGCATCTCTCTGACCCATTGAGCTACGGTATGTTGTCGTCTATACTATGTCGTCTCCACTATATACTATGCTATGTTCTCTCCGGTGGTTAGTTAGCGTCTGGCTACAAGTCATAGAATAGCGATGCATTGACGAAGCACATGGCCATGATAACAGCGTTCACATGCTCACGTTAACCCCTTAGATCCAGGACCATCTGTTGTTAGCTCTCAGTCGTCGTAGGGAGAGCCTTTTATACAGATCTGGATTTCCTAGTTCTCCACTGGCTGCTGGATGACCCTGCTGAAGCTCTAGCCACAGAACCACAAGTTCACAAGTTCAGAACCAGTCAAGGGTGAGATAGAGAGAAAGAAGGAGGAGAGACAGAAAGGAGAGAGAGGGAGTGAAACGAGGTTCTCGCTCGGTGCTCTGCAGGTGAAGTGCATGGGAGATGGACCATGGCTAATTTGAAAGATGTTGTATTATTTATTTAAAAACTCTGCAAAGCCAAAGCTACACTCGGAGGTGCAGTTGCAGTCCATAGACTGGCTAATGCATTGAAGTGCGAGCGACTACAGAGCAGCACGGCTCCTTTTCCTCTTCCTGCTTCTGCTTCTTCCCCAGGCGTTTCTTTCTGGGCTGGTCCTTCTCAACAGGCTGGATGTGATGTGTGCTGCTCAGTATTTCCAAATGGTGATTAATCCACTGAGAGGCTGGCTGGAGCTAGAACTGCTGCAGCCGGAGAAGGAGGAGGCTTTTGATTTTACCCCAAGATACTGCAGAGGCTCTCCTCCTTACTACTTCAAAGAGCTCTTACTTTCTCTGACAGGACTCTCTTTCTCCCTCTTCCATCTCTCTCTCCCTCCATCTTCTCCCTTTCACTGTCTTTCGCTCTCTCTTCTCTCTCTTTCAGGTGTTTTTGCGTTTTGTACACTGGTCAACCTTTGGAAATGTTCTACTAATGAATTATAAGTGTGGCTTCAGCACCAGCACTGAGATAGCATCTTACATGTGGTGCGTGTGTGTTGTGCAGGACACCAAGATAGCATCTCTGGAGCGCAACATCAGGGACCTGGAGGATGAGATCCAGATCCTGAAGGCTAACGGCTTGCTGAACACCGAGGACAGAGAGGAGGAGATCAAGCAGATGGAGGTCTACAAAAACCACTCCAAGTTTATGAAGACCAAGGTACACACACATATACAGGAAAACACAGACACACTATATGCACAGCAAAACATGCAGACACGCATGCATGCACGCACATACGCACATACGCGCGCACACACACACACACGCACGCACACACACACACACACACACACACATACACACACGTACTGTAGTAGTCTATAATGTGCCAAACACAATCACTCACACAATCTAGGGTTTGCTGTGCAAAGTGAACAGAACAGATTAGAGCTGACTGTCTGGCTGACAGTAAATGAGCTAGCTTTAGCATTATATTAACTGGTTTCATCTGGGAAGTGCTTCGCTGGCAGCTGTATCTGACTGGGAGATGCTTACTCATTGTTTTGTTACTCTACACTTAGCAGAGACAGACAGCAGAGAGAGCAGAGGAAGACCATAAAAAATACCATTCCTGTATTGTTAAAATTGATATTTTATTGTCCTCCGAAGCCTTATCAATATGTTTGTATCCATCTAGCATGATTGATTGTAAAGTATTACCATTGGAACCCACTGTCAGAAACTCTGGTTACATTGAATTTCCTTATCTACTGTTGCACATCTTATCCAGTTGGGCCAGCTTTGATTTGCTCAGTCATATTATACAGTCTGTCGTCAGTCATCTTACGGTCAGGTTCCCAGCCTCCCTCCCAGCCTCCCTCCCAGCCTCCAAGTCTCTCTGGAGCATTGTGTCTGTGTTTTTACATCCATGTGAGGATAAAACCAGCGGGAGTTTTGTTGTTTTATTTTTAGACCATTATTCATCAATCATAGATAGGGCTGATGTATAATACATGAATAATGCAGGGGGCCAGATCCATCTTTAGTGAGAGGAGAGCCTGGCTACAATGAACACAGTGGATAAAGGTTTACTTTACCCACTGTCCCTCTGTTATGGTGAGAGGCTTTTCTACCAAATGTCCACTGCACAAAGCACACAAAGTAAACTCGTACACAGACAGCTAATACACACACAGGTATGAAGGCACACACACACCTGCCATGATTTTTTGATTTAATTTATTAGGATGCCCATTAGCCGATGCCAATGGCGGCAGCTAGTCTTATTGGGGTCCGACACATAAAGAAAAATACATTACAGACAAAATACCTTACAATTTACATACAGTACCAGTCAAAGGTTTAGACACACCTAGTCATTCAAGGGTTTTTCTTTATTTTTCCTATTTCCTATATTGTAGAATAATAGTGAAGACATCAAAACTATGAAATAACACATCAAAATATATTTTAGATTTTAGATTGTTCAAAGTAGCCACCCTTTGCCTTGATGATAGCTTTGCACACTCTTGGCATTCTCTCAACCAGCTTCACCTGGAATGCTTTTCCAACAGTCTTGAAGGAGTTCCCACATATGCTGAGCACTCGTTGGCTTCTTTTCCTTCACTCTGCGGTCGATCTCATCCCAAACCATCTCAATTGGGTTGAGGTCGGGTGATTGTGGAGGCCAGGTCATCTGATGCAACACTCCTTCACTCTCCTTATTAGTCAAATAGCCCTTACACAGCCTGGAGGTGTGTTGGTTCATTGTCCTGTTGAAAAACAAATGATAGTCCCACTAAGCGCAAACCAGATGGGATGGCGTATCGCTGCAGAATGCTGTGGTAGCCATGCTGGTTAAGTGTGCCTTGAATTCTAAATAAATCACAGACAGTGTCACCAGCAAAGCACCCCAACACCATCACACCTCCTTCTCCATGCTTCATGGTGGGAACCACACATGCGGAGATCATCCGTTCACCTACTCTACGTCTCACAAAGACACGGCGGTTGGAACCAAAAATCACAAATTTGCACTTATCAGACCAAAGGACAGATTTCCACCGGTCTAATGTCCATTGCTCGTGTTTCTTGGCCCAAGCAAGTGTCTTATTATTATTGGTGTCCGTTAGTAGTGGTTTCTTTGCAGCAATTAGACCATGAAGGCCTGATTCACGCAGTCTCCTCTGAACAGTTGATGTTGAGATGTATCTGTTACTTGAGCTCTGTGAAGCATTTATTTGGGCTGCAGTCTGAGGTGCAATTAACTCTAATGAACTTATCCTCTGCAGCAGAGGTAACTCTGGGTCTTCCTTTCCTGTGGCGGTCCTCACGAGAGCCAGTTTTATCGTAGCGCTTTATGGTTTTTGCGACTGCACTTGAAGAAACTTTCAAAGTTCTTGAAATGTTCCGTATTGATTGACCTTCATGTGTTAAAGTAATGATGGACTGTTGTTTCTGTTTGCTTATTTGAGCTGTTCTTGCCATAATATGGACTTGGTCTTTTACCAAATAGGGCTATCTTCTGTATACCACCCCTACCTTGTCACAACACAACTGATTGGCTCAAACGCATTAAGAAGGAAAGAAATTCCACAAATTAACTTTTAACAAGGCACACCTATTAATTGAAATGCATTCCAGGTGACTACCTCATGAAGCTGGTTGAGAGAATGCCAAGAATGTCCAAAGCTGTCATCAATTCGAAGGGTGGCTACTTGGAAGAATCTCAAATAAAAAATATATATATTTTGATTTGTTTAACACTTTTTTGGTTACTACATGATTCCATATGTGTTATTTAATAGTTTTGATGTCTTCACTATTATTCAACAATGTAGAAAATAGTAAAAATAAATAAAAACCCTGGAATGAGTAGGTCGAAGGTTCTTATCCAGAGCGACTTACAGTTAGTTAGTGCATACATTTTTCTTTTTTAAAAGTTATTTTTTTTGTAATTTAGCAGACGCTCTTATCCAGAGCAACTGACAGGAGCAATTAGGGTTAAGTGCCTTGCTTAAGGGCACATCAACAGATTTTTCACCTAGTCGGCTCGGGGATTAGAACCAGCGACCTTTCGGTTACCCACTAAGCTACCTGCCACTCATGTAATGTGTGTGTGTGCATCTATCAGTTACACATACATGTCAGTACATACACACAACAAGTAGGTCACATGGAGGAGAGGCGTTGTGCCGTGAGGTGTTGCTTGACTTATTTTTTTACCAGGTTTGCTCTTCACTTGCGCTATATAAGATGGAAGGGAGTTCCATGCACTCATGATAATACTATTTAGCTCACAACTTACATTTACATTTACATAATTTAGCAGACGCTCTTATCCAGAGCGACTTACAAATTGGTGCATTCAACCTATGATAGCCAGTGGGACAACCACCTTTTTTTATTTTTTATTTTATTTTTATTTTTATATATATACAGTGGGGAGAACAAGTATTTGATACACTGCCGATTTTGCAGGTTTTCCTACTTACAAAGCATGTAGAGGTCTGTAATTTTTATAATAGGTACACTTCAACTGTGAGAGGCGGAATCTAAAACAAAAATCCAGAAAATCACATTGTATGATTTTTAAGTAATTCATTTGCATTTTATTGCATGACATAAGTATTTGATCACCTACCAACCAGTAAGAATTCCGTCTCTCACAGACCTGTTAGTTTTTCTTTAAGAAGCCCTCCTGTTCTCCACTCATTACCTGTATTAACTGCACCTGTTTGAACTCGTTACCTGTATAAAAGACACCTGTCCACACACTCAATCAAACAGACTCCAACCTCTCCACAATGGCTAAGACCAGAGAGCTGTGTAAGGACATCAGGGCTAAAATTGTAGACCTGCACAAGGCTGGGATGGGCTACAGGACAATAGGCAAGCAGCTTGGTGAGAAGGCAACAACTGTTGGCACAATTATTAGAAAATGGAAGAAGTTCAAGATGACGGTCAATCAGGGGAGGCGAGATCTTGGCCAACAACCTCCTTCCCTCAGTAAGAGCATTGAAGATGGGTCGTGGCTGGGTCTTCCAGCATGACAACGACCCGAAACACACAGCCAGGGCAACTAAGGAGTGGCTCCGTAAGAAGCATCTCAAGGTGCTAGCCAGTCTCCAGACCTGAACCCAATAGAACATCTTTGGAGGGAGCTGAAAGTCCGTATTGCCCAGCGACAGCCCCGAAACCTGAAGGATCTGGAGAAGGGCTGTATGGAGGAGTGGGCCAAAATCCCTGCTGCAGTGTGTGCAAACCTGGTCAAGACCTACAGGAAACGTATGATCTCTGTAATTGCAAACAAAGGTTTCTGTACCAAATATTAAGTTCTGCTTTTCTGATGTATCAAATACTTATGTCATGCAATAAAATGCAAATTAATTACTTAAAAATCATACAATGTGATTTTCTGTATTTTTGTTTTAGATTCCGTCTCTCACAGTTGAAGTGTACCTATGATAAAAATTACAGACCTCTACATGCTTTGTAAGTAGGAAAACCTGCAAAATCGGCAGTGTATCAAATACTTTTTCTCCCCACTGTATATATATATTTTTTAATGGGGGGTGGGGGAAGAAGGATTACTTTATACTATTCCAGGTATTCCTTAAAGAGGTAGGGTTTCAAGTGTTTCCGGAAGGTGGTCAGTGACTCCGCTGTCCTGGCGTCGTGGGGGAGCTTGTTCCACCATTGGGGTGCCAGAGCAGTGAATAGCTTTGACTGGGCTGAGCGGGAACTGTGCTTCCGTAGAGGTAGGGGAGCTAGCAGGCCAGAGGTGGATGAACGTAGTACCCTCGTTTGGGTGTAGGGTCTGATCAGAGCCTGAAGGTAAGGAGGTGCCGTTCCCCTCACAGCTCCGTAGGCAAGCACCATGGTCTTGTAGTAGATGTGAGCCTCAACTGGAAGCCAGTGGAGTGTGCGGAGTAGCGGGGTGACATGAGAGAACTTGGGAAGGTTGAACACCAGATGGGCTGCAGCGTTCTGGATAAGTTGTAGGGGTTTAATGGCACAGGCAGGGAGCCCAGCCAACAGCGAGTTGCAGTAATCCAGACAGGAGATGACAAGTGCCTGGATTAGGACCTGTGGCGCTTTCTGTGTAAGGTAGGGTCGTACTCTGCAAATGTTGTAGAGCATGAACCTGCAGGATCGGGTCACCGCTTTGATGTTAGCGGAGAACGACAGGGTGTTGTCCAGGGTCACGCCAAGGTTCTTTGCACTCTGGGAGGAGGACACAATGGAGTTGTCAACCGTGATGGCGAGATCATTGAGCGGGCAGTCCTTCCCCGGGAGGAAGAGCAGCTCCGTCTTGCCGAGGTTCAGCTTGAGGTGGTGATCCGACATCCACACTGATATGTCTGCCAGACATGCAGAGATGCAATTTGCCACCTGGTTATCAGAAGGGGGAATGGAGAAAATTAATTGTGTGTTGTCTGCGTAGCAATGATATGAGAGACCATGTGAGGATATGACAGAGCCAAGTGACTTGGTGTATATAGGAGAGGGCCTAGAACTGAGCCCTGGGGGACACCAGTGGTGAGAGCACGCGGTGCGGAGACAGATTCTCGCCACGCCACCTGGTTGGACCGACCTGTCAGGTAGGACGCAATCCAAGAGTGAGCAGCGCCGGAGATGCCCAACTCGGAGAGGGTGGAGAGGAGGATCTGATGGTTCACAGTATCAAAGGCAGCGGATAGGTCTAGAAGGATAAGAGCAGAGGAGAGAGAGTTAGCTTTAGCGGTGCGGAGAGCCTCCGTGACACAGAGAAGAGCAGTCTCAGTTGAATGACCAGTCTTGAAACCTGACTGGTTTGGATCAAGAAGGTAATTCTGAGAGAGATAGCAGGAGAGTTGGCTAGAGACGGCATGCTCAAGAGTTTTGGAGAGAAAAGAAAGAAGGGATACTGGTCTGTAGTTGTTGACATTGGAGGGATCGAGTGTAGGTTTTTTGAGGAGGGGTGCAACTCTCACTCTCTTGAAGACGGAAGGGACATGGCCAGCGGTCAAGGATGAGTTGATGAGCGAGGTGATGTCGATCGGATGTCGTCAACCTTCTTTTCAAAATGGTTGACGAAGTCATCCACAGAGAGGGAGGAGGGAGGGGGAGGAGGAGGAGGATTCAGCAGGGAGGAGAGGGTGGCAAAGAGCTTCCTAGGGTTAGAGGCAGAGGCTTGACATTTAGAGTGGTAGAAAGTGGCTTTAGCAGCGGAAACAGAGGAAGAGAATGTAGAGAGGAGGGAGTGAAAAGATGACAGGTCCGCAGGGAGTCGTCAAGCCACGGAGCAGGAGGGGAGGACCGAGCCGGCCGGGAGGATAGGGGACATAGAGAGTCAAAAGATGCAGAAAGGGAGGAGAGGAGGGTTGAGGAGGCAGAATCAGGAGATCGGAGGGAGAAGGATTTAGCAGAGGGAAGAGATGATAGGATGGAAGAGGAGAGAGTAGTGGGAGAGAGAGAGCAAAGGTTGTGACGGCACATTACCATCTGAGTAGGGGCAGAGTGAGTAGTGTTGGAGGAGAGCGAGAGAGAAAATGACGTAGGGAGGTTAAAGTCACCCAGAACTGTGAGGGAACTTATCAAGGCGTCAAGCTCATTGATGAACTCTCCAAGGGAACCTGGAGGGCGATAAATGACAAGGATGTTAAGCTTGAATGGGCTAGTGACTGTGACAGCATGGAATTCAAATGAGGAGATAGACAGATGGGTCAGGGGAAAAAGAGAGAATGTCCACTTGGGAGAGATGAGGATTCATGTGCCACCGCCGTGCTGACCAGATGCTCTCGGGGTATGCGAGAACACATGGTCAGACATGGAAAGAGCAGTAGGAGTAGCAGTGTTTTCTGTGGTAATCCATGTTTCCGTCAGCCCCAAGAAGTCGAGGGACTGGAGGGTAGTATAGGCTGAGATGAACTCTGCCTTGTTGGCCGCAGAACGGCAGTTCTAGAGGCTGCCGGAGACCTGGAACTCCACGTGGGTCGTGCGCGCAGGGACCACCAGATTAGAGTGGCAGCAGCCACGCGGTGTGAAGCGTTTGTATGGCCTGTGCAGAGAGGAGAGAACAGGGATAGACAGACACATAGTTGACAGGCTACAGAAAAAGGCTACAATAATGCAAAGGAGATCAGAATGAAATGAACTAAATATCTGGGAAATCGAGAGAGCGGGGCCTCCCTCACTTACGTTTCACTGAAACACTCAAATATACTCTCCCAACTTCCACTTTAGAAATTATAATTGTTGTAAACTACAGCGTTTCAATGTTTTCTAGGAGTAGACTCTAACTTAGTTTATTCAGCTAGCTAACTTGGTACAGTATTCTTCTGTGAAAACCGTCCAGGGCACTGAATCCTATGACGCCATAGCCAACTAGCATGCCAGCCTCCAATAACACGGTTTAGCACCAATACTCAGTTACAACAAACCACCAGTGTGTTAACACGCCAAACAGATCATTCGTGTCCGTGTCGAACGTTGTGTAACGTTTTGGGTTAGTTTTGACAGTTTGAGTGAGTATGTCGTCAACTTATTCAGCCAATTAGTTAGCTAGAATAGTTAGCATACTAGCTAGCCATTGCTCTCTGCCAACGAACCAACCCCTCCTTCCACGGCACAAACACACAGAGAGAGCCAAGCTAACGTTAACTAGTCACCCATGTCCCGAATTCCCTTGAACGTCTCTGGTTACCAGTATGTAAAAACAAAACAAAAATAAATGTAGGTTATAACTTACCCTTAGTAGCTACTGTTAGCCAGTTTAGTGCAAAGCTAGCCACTGAATCGATTCAGCCAGTTCGCGTCTGTCCCAACGGAGAGAAAGCGGCTCCAAATATTACAGCTAGGTCGTTCCAGCTATTGTCTAGTTAGCTATCCAGGTACCAACAAGCTAGCTACATTTTGAGTACAGTAGCTACTAACTACCTAACATTAACGCTGAGGTTAGAAAAACAGCTGAATGGTAGGTAGCTAGCTGGCATAATTACAGGTACTCTTAAGCGTGAAATAACATTGGAAACAACTATCCACAGTTGCTAATAGTTGCCAGTAGCTACCCGCTAACTAGCTAGCTTTATTGGTCCAGGTAGTGGGTTAGCTAGCCTTGTGCTTCACCGGGCTCAGCCGAATACAATACTTACCTACAATAATAATAATAATAATATGCCATTTAGCAGACGCTTTTATCCAAAGCGACTTACAGTCATGCGTGCATACATCTTTTGTGTATGGGCTAGTGACTGTGACAGCATGGAATTCAAATGAGGAGATAGACAGATGGGTCAGGGGAAAAAGAGAGAATGTCCACTTGGGAGAGATGAGGATTCCTGTGCCACCGCCGTGCTGACCAGATGCTCTCGGGGTATGCGAGAACACAAGGTCAGACAAGGAAAGCAGTGTTTTCTGTGGTAATCCATGTTTCCGTCAGCGCCAAGAAGTCGAGGGACTGGAGGGTAGTATAGGCTGAGATGAGCTACAATAACCTACAATAACTACCTAGATAAACGACCTACAATACCTAACTACAATAACTACCAACAATCTAAATACATGGTTTAAGCTTTACTCGACACCATATAAGAAGCCAAGCTTACCTCCCGCTAGAGAAACACAACCTCACCCGACTAGTATCCACCGCAACTTCATACGAGAGTTAGTTCTGACACACCCTGTTGTGTGTGTGTGTGCGTGTGTGTGCATGCCTGCCTGTGTGTGTGTGTGTGTGTGTGTGTGTGCGTGTGTGCATTCGCGTGCATCTCCCCTCAACAGATTGACCAGCTGAAGCAGGAGCTGTCTAAGAAGGAGTCTGAGCTGCTGGCCCTGCAGACCAAGCTGGAGACCCTGAACAACCAGAACTCGGACTGCAAACAGCACATAGAGGTGCTCAAAGAGTCCCTCACTGCCAAGGAGCAGCGCGCTGCCATTCTGCAGACAGAGGTAGCTACAGCACACACACACACACAACACACACGCATCCTTGCACACATGCATATATGAACACACACATGCACACACATACAGTAACACACACACATTCCTGCACACATGCATACAAACACACACACATGCCCGCACACACTCACATACAGTATGCATAACGAACACGCCTATATGCTTACAGTAAGATACACCCTCGGATGTGCACAGAATCTCCTTATGTTCATTGATACACTAAAGTTGTATTTTGGTCCTCGTACACTGTTTCTAAGGAAACATTATATCACCCTTTCCCTGTACTCTGCTTCATACACTTACATATCCCCTCCCCTCTTGCTTTCTACCCTTTAGTAGAGCATGAACCTTGTATTGTAAATGCCAAGTATCTCAGAGAGAACTCTCGTTCTTCAATTTGACAATAATAATAAGTTGAACTTTGAACCGTGCCCTTCAGGGTTTATGCCGGATCACTGTAAAAGCACTTTGTGTCAACTGCTGATGTAAAAAGGGCTTTATAAAACACATTTGATGGAATCTGACCTCTGAACTGTGACATTTGACCTATGACCACTCTCCTCCCAGGTGGACGCCCTGCGCTTGCGTCTGGAGGAGAAGGAGTCCTTCCTGAACAAGAAGACCAAGCAGCTGCAGGACCTGACAGAAGAGAAGGGCACACTAGCTGGAGAGATTCGTGACATGAAGGACATGCTGGAGGTCAAGGAGAGGAAGATCAACGTCCTGCAGAAGAAGGTTAGGGGTCAAGGGTTAAGGGTCAGGGGTTAAGTGTCAAGGATGTATTTAGGTAGAAAGTAGTTAAGGGTAGCCTGGGCATGGTCACAAGTTTGTTTAATAAATGGATAAAAAAATAATCTCTGACCAACATAGTGTTCTCCTACCATTGCTTACAGGACTATAGATGTCACAGCCTAGCTCTGCTGTTCCTCGCTAAAAGCTTTTAGGCATAACATATTTGGTAGTAGAAATACTGGTAATGGATGCTGACTCGGGGGCCTCAGCGACTCGCCTAAGAGCAAATCTGAGGGAAACACTGCAAAAAGTGATACATTTGAGACTTAGGTTTACAATTAAGCTCTCCCCTGGATTGAGTTCATTAGAATTGTTACATACTGTAGAACCTAGATGAGAGCTCACTGTGTATGGGTGTAGGTTAAGTTGTTTGGATGTTTGGTTGGATCCCTGTCTTATCCCTGAGACCCGGGCTGCTTCCCAAATGGCATCCTATTCACAATATATTGCACTACTTTTGACTAGAGCTCTTTGGGCCCTAGTCAGAAGTATTGCACTACATAGGGAATATGGTGTCATTTGGGATGCACACCTGAGCTGGTTGGTCTCTGAGGATACGAAGCATGCATGTATGCACAACCACACACACACACACACAACACACACACACACACACACACACACACACACACACACACACACACACACACACACACACACACACACACACTTCCTCTAGTGTGTGCAATAAATATACAGTGTGTTACTCTCTCTCACCTTGACCTCACTTTCTCTTTCTCTTCTCTCTCTATCTTGCTCTCTCTCTCTCTCCCCCTCTCTCCCTCCCTCTCTCTCTCTCTCTCTCTCTCTCGCTCTCTCTTTCTCTCTCCATCTCTCTATCTCTCTTCACTTTATATTTCTCTCCGTCTCTTCTTCTGATGTGTCTCAACTCTGTCAGTGCACTGTGTCTCTCTTTGTCTAATTTTATTTTTGGTCTGTTTCTTTCTCAGATATCCCTCTTTCTCTTTCTTTCTCTCTGGCTAGACTATCTTGTATTATTTCTTACTATCTTTGAGAGACATCTAACTTTCTATCTGGTTGTCTTGCTCAACAACAATGAGCTCATAACATCCTTCCATATGTTTCTCTGTAACCTTTTTAGTCCCATGTGAAAACAGAGACCACATATAGCCATTTACGTGGAAACACACTACTCTCTCTCCTCTCCTCTCCCTCTCCTCACTTCTCTCGCTCTTCCCCTCTCTCTATCTCTCTCTATCTCTCTCTCTCTCTCTCTCTCTCTCTCTCTCTCTCTCTCTCTCTCTCTCTCTCTCCTCTCTCTCTCTCTCTCTCTCTCTCTCTCTCTTCTCTCTCTCTCTCTCTCTCTCTCTCGTCTCTCTCTGTCTCTCCCTCTCTGCTTCTCTCTCTCATCCTCTCTCCTCTCTCATCTCTCTCTCTCCTCTCTCTCTCTCTCTCTCTCTCTCTTCTCCCTCAAATACCAGCCAATCTAAAAAAGCTTTAAATTGATGAGATTTGGGAAAATAAAATAATAAAGGCTTCCTCTTCCAGGTTTAAAAAGCCCAACACAGTCACAGACTGCATCCCAAATAGCAGCCTATTCCCTACACTGAGCACTTGTTGGCTGCTTTTCCTTCACTCTGCGGTCCGACTCATCCCAAATCATCTCAACTGGGTTGAGGTCGGGGGATTGTGGAGGCCAGGTCATCTGATGCAGCACTCCATCACTCTCCTTCTTGGTAAAATAGCCCTTACACAGCCTGGAGGTGTGTTGGGTCATTGTCCTGTTGAAAAACAAATGATAGTCCCACCAAGCCCAAACCAGATGGGATGGTTTATCGCTGCAGAATGCTGTGGTAACCATGCTGGTTAAGTGTGAATTCTAAATAAATCACAGACAGTGTCACCAGCAAAGCACCCCCACACCATAACACTTCCTCTTCCATGCTTTACGGTGGAAAATACACACGCGGAGATCATCCGTTCACCCACAACGCATCTCACAAAGACACGGCGGTTGGAACCAAAAATCTCAAATTTGGACTCCAGACCAAAGGACAAATTTCCACCGGTCTAATTCTTATTGGTGTCCTTTAGTAGTGGTTTCTTAGCAGCAATTTGACCATGAAGGCCTGATTCACACAGTCCCCTCTGAACAGATGATGTTGAGATGTGTGTGTTACTTGAACTCTGTGAAGCATTTATTTGGGCTGCAATTTCTGAGGCTGGTAACTCCAATGAACTTATCCTCTGCAGCAGAGGTAACTCTGGGTCTTCCATTCCTGTGGCAGTCCTCATGAGAGCCAGTTTCATCATAGCGCTTGATGGTTTTTTGCGACTGCACTTGAAGAAACTTTCAAAGTTCTTGAAATGTTCCGTATTGACTGACCTTCATGTCTTAAAGTAATGATGGACTGTCATTTCTCTTTGCTTATTTGAGCTGTTCTTGCCATAATATGGACTTGGTCTTTTACCAAATAGGGCTATCTTCTGTATACCCCCCCCTACATTGTCACAACACAACTGATTGTCTCAAACGCATTAAGAAGGAAAGAAATTCCACAAATTAACTTTTAAGAAGGCACACCTGTTAATTGAAATACATTCCAGGTGACTACCTCATGAAGCTGGTTGAGAGAATGCCAAGAGTGTGCAAAGCTGTCATCAAGGCAAAGGGTGGCTATTTGAAGAATCTCAAATATAAAATATATTTTGATTTGTTTAACACTTTTTTGGTTACTACATGATTCCATATGTGTTATTTCATAGTTTTGATGTCTTCACTATTATTCTACAATGTAGAAAATAGTAAAAATAAAGAAAAACCCTTGAATGAGAAGGTGTGTGCAAACTTTTGACTGGTACTGTATGTAGTGCACTACTTTTGACCAGAGACCTCTGGAAGTAGACACAATTACCCTGCAAACATTACTCACACTAACTCCTAACTCACACTCCTAACTTTTAATGCAGTTTCTCTATGTACAGTTCTTTTGACCTCATGCTAATTCCCTCTAGCTCTCTATACCTACCTCTCTGTTCTGTTCTCTCTCTGTGTTAGGAGTGTGCTGTGGTTAAATTGTTTTAGCTGACTGATATGTAACTATCCCGCTCCTCAATCCCCCTATATCTGTCTATCGTAGGAACTGTCTGGGGAGGGATTGGATTCTTCTTTATTATCTGTTCTTTAGGGTGCTTTCGTTCTTGTCTTGATCTTTCTTTTTCTTTTTGTTCTTTCTTATTTCTTCGTTCTGTCTTCCTTCTTCCTTCCTTCCCTCCATCTCTTTTTCCTCCCTCCCTCCTCCTCTCCCCCAGATTGAGAATCTGCAGGAGCAGCTGCGTGATAAGGACAAGCAGCTGGGGAACCTGAAGGACAGGGTGAAGTCTCTACAGACTGACTCCAGTAACACTGACACGGCCCTGGCCACCCTGGAGGAGGCACTCTCTGAAAAGGTACAGAAGGACCCAGAGCTTTATACCCGGTGAACTTAGAACCAGGGCCCAAACAATGAACTTTAAACTAATGTCCATGTGTGTGTCTCTCTCAGGAGCGTATTATAGAGAGACTGAAGGAGCAGAGAGCGAGGGAGGACAACGAGAGGATGGATGAGGTGGAGTCCTATAAGAAGGAGAACAAGGACCTCAAGGAGAAGGTCAACACCCTGCAGCTGGAATTAACAGAGAAGGAGGTCAGTGTAAGATAAGATAAGATAATGACTTTATTATCATTTTACATTTACATTTTAGTCATTTAGCAGACGCTCTTATCCAGAGCGACTTACAGGAGCAATTAGGGTTAAGTGCCTTGCTCAAGGGCACATTTACGTCATTTAGCAGACGCTCTTATCCAGAGCGAATCACCAATTGGTGCGTTCACCCTATAGCCAGTGGGATAACCACTTTACAATTTTTTTGGGGGGGGGTAGAAGGATTACTTTATCCTATCCCAGGTATTCCTTAAAGAGGTGGGGTTTCAAATGCCTCCGGAAGGTGGTGAGTGACTCCGCTGTCCTGGCGTCGTGAGGGAGCTTGTTCCACCATTGGGGTGCCAGAGCAGCGAACAGTTTTGACTGGGCTGAGCGGGAACTATGCTTCCGCAGAGGAAGGGGAGCCAGCAGGCCAGAGGTGGATGAACGCAATGCCCTCGTTTGGGTGTAGGGACTGATCAGAGCCCGAAGGTACAGAGGTGCCGTTCCCCTCACTGCTCCATAGGCAAGCACCATGGTCTTGTAGCGGATGCGAGCTTCAACTGGAAGCCAGTGGAGTGTGCGGAGGAGGGGGGTGACGTGAGAGAACTTGGGAAGGTTGAACACCAGACGGGCTGCGGCATTCTGGATGAGTTGTAGGGGTTTAATGGCACAGGCAGGGAGGCCAGCCAACAGCGAGTTGCAGTAGTCCAGACGGGAGATGACAAGTGCCTGGATTAGGACCTGTGCCGCTTCCTGTGTAAGGCAGGGTCGTACTCTCCGAATGTTGTAGAGCATGAACCTGCAGGAGCGGGTCACCGCCTTGATGTTGGCGGAGAACGACAGGGTGTTGTCCAGGGTCACGCCTAGGCTCTTCGCACTCTGGGAGGAGGACACAGCGGAGTTGTCAACCGTGATGGCGAGATCATGGAACGGGCAGTCCTTCCCCGGGAGGAAGAGCAGCTCCGTCTTGCCAGGGTTCAGCTTGAGGTGGTGATCCGTCATCCATACTGATATGTCTGCCAGACATGCAGAGATGCGATTCGCCACCTGGTTATCAGAAGGGGGAAAGGAGAAGATTAGTTGTGTATCGTCAGCGTAGCAATGATAGGAGAGGCCATGTGAGGATATGACAGAGCCAAGTGACTTGGTGTATAGGGAGAAAAGGAGAGGGCCTAGAACTGAGCCCTGGGGGACACCAGTGGTGAGAGCACGTGGTGCGGAGACAGCTTCTCGCCACGCCACTTGGTAGGAGCGACCGGTCAGGTAGGACGCAATCCAGGAGTGAGCCGCGCCGGAGATGCCCAGCTCGGAGAGGGTGGAGAGGAGGATCTGATGGTTCACAGTATCAAAGGCAGCAGACAGGTCTAGAAGGACAAGAGCAGAGGAGAGAGAGTTAGCTTTAGCAGTGCGGAGAGCCTCCGTGACACAGAGAAGAGCAGTCTCAGTTGAATGACCAGTCCTGAAACCTGACTGGTTTGGATCAAGAAGGTCATTCTGAGAGAGATAGCAAGAGAGTTGGCTAAAGACGGCACGCTCAATAGTTTTGGAAAGAAAAGAAAGAAGGGATACTGGTCTGTAGTTGTTGACATCAGTGGGATCGAGTGTTGGTTTCTTGAGAAGGGGAGCAACTCTCGCTCTCTTGAAGACGGAAGGGACATGGCCAGCGGTCAAGGATGAGTTGATCAGCGAGGTGAGGTAGGGGAGAAGGTCACCGGAGATGGTCTGGAGAAGAGAGGAGGGGATGGGGTCAAGCGGGCAGGTTGTTGGGCGGCCTGCAGTCACAAGTCGCAGGATTTTATCTGGAGAGAGAGGGGAGAAAGAAGTCAAAGCATAGGGTAGGGCAGTGTGAGTAGGACCAGCAGTGTCATTAGACTTAACAAACGAGGATCGAATGTCGTCAACCTTCTTTTCAAAGTGGTTGACGAAGTCATCCACAGAGAGAGAGGAGGGGGGGGCGGGGGGGGGGGAGGATTCAGGAGGGAGGAAAATGTGGCAAAGAGCTTCCTAGGGTTAGAGGCAGATGCTTGGAATTTAGAGTGGTAGAAAGTGGCCTTAGCAGCAGAAACAGATGAAGAAAATGTAGAGAGGAGGGAGTGAAAAGATGCCAGGTCGGCAGGGAGTTTAGTTTTCTTCCATTTCCGCTCCGCTGCCCGGAGCTCTGTTCTGTGAGCTCGCAATGAGTCATCAAGCCACGGAGCTGGAGGGGAGGACCGAGCCGGCCGGGAGGATAGGGGACACAGAGAGTCAAAGGATGCAGAAAGGGAGGAGAGGAGGGTTGAGGAGGCAGAATCAGGAGATTGGAGGGAGAAGGATTGAGCAGAGGGAAGAGATGATAGGATGGAAGAGGAGAGAGTAGTGGGAGAGAGAGAGCGAAGGTTGCGGCGGCGCATTACCATCTGTGTAGGGGCAGAGTGAGTAGTGTGGGAGGAGAGCGAGAGAGAAAAGGAAACAAAGTAGTGGTCGGAGACATGGAGGGGAGTTGCAGTGAGATTAGTAGAAGAGCAGCATCTAGTAAAGATGAGGTCAAGCGTATTGCCTGCCTTGTGAGTAGGGGGGGACGGTGAGAGGGTGAGGTCAAAAGAGGAGAGAAGTGGAAAGAAGGAGGCAGAGAGAAATGAGTCAAATGTGGACATAGGGAGGTTGAAATCCCCCAAAACTGTGAGGGGTGAGCCATCCTCAGGAAAGGAACTTATCAAGGCGTCAAGCTCATTGATGAACTCTCCAAGGGAACCTGGAGGGCGATAGATGACAAGGATATTAAGCTTAAATGGGCTAGTGACTGTGACAGCATGGAATTCAAATGAGGAGATAGACAGATGGGTTAGGGGAAAAATTGAGAATGTCCACTTGGGAGAGATGAGGATTCCTGTGCCACCACCCCTCTGACCAGATGCTCTCGGGGTATGCGAGAACACATGGTCAGATGAGGAGAGAGCAGTAGGAGTAGCAGTGTTTTCAGTGGTAATCCATGTTTCCGTCAGCGCCAGGAAGTCGAGGGACTGGAGATTAGCAGAGGCTGGGATGAAGTCAGCTTTGTTGGCAGCAGAACGGCAGTTCCAGAGGCTGCCTGAGACCTGGAACTCCAGGTGTTGTGCGTGCAGGGACAACCAGGTTAGAGAGGCAGCAGCCACGCGGTGTGGGGCGTTTGTGTAGCCTGTGCGGAGAGGAGAGAACAGGGATAGGCAGAGGCATAGTTGACAGGCTGCAACAGATGGCTACAATAATGCAGAGGAGATCGGGATGAAATGAACTGAACATCAGGGAAAGGAGAGAGCAGGCCTCCCTCACCAAAAAATAAATAAATATATAACTCTCCCAACTTCCACCTCAGAAACTATAGTTGTTTCACTGAACCACCCGAATAAAACTCTCCCAACTTCCACTTTAGAAATTAGAGTTGTTGTAAGCTACAGCAGACTGTTATCAGTAGCTGTAATTAAGTACAGCAGCTACCAACCACCTAACGTTAATGCCTCGGATGAGGTTAGAAAAACAGCTGAATGGTAGCAGCTAGCTGGCTCAATCACAGGTACTCTCAAGCATGAAATAACATTGGAAACAGCTAACCACAGTTGCTAAAAGTTACCCACAGTTGCTAAAAGTTACCGGTAGCTACCCTCTAGCTAGCTAGCTTTGTTGGTCCAGGTAGTGGGTAAGCTAGCCTCGTGCTTCGCCTGGGCTCCGCCGAATAAAATCCTTACCTACAATAATTACCTACAATAATAACCTACAATAACTACCGGAGTAAGCTACCTATAATACCAAACTACAATACCTACCTACAATCTAAATACATGGTTTAAGCTTAACTCAACACCATATAAGAAGCCAAGCTTACCTTTCATAACGCAGCAATGATTAAACGTTGGGTAGCTAGCACAAAGACATTGTATTTAGTTACCACAGCCTGCTGGTAGTGTTGGCTAGCTAGCAATGGCTACTGTGTTGACTTTGTTTGAAAAACGGCGTCGCTGTGAGCGAATGTAGCTGGCTAAAAGGATATTGTTTTTAGTTGCTACCGTTGCTAATAGCTACTCGCCAGCTAATCCAGGAGGTGAGTTAGCTAGCTAGCTTCGTGCTACATCCGGCACCGCCGAATACAAAAGTAACCTACAATAATTACACACAACAGCTACCCGCAACAGCCCACGATGCCTACCTATACTACTTAATAATATACAGCCCACGATGCCTACCTATAGTACCTAACTACAATCTAAATACATAGTTTAAGCCTTAGTCGACAAAGCCCAAGCTATGTATAAAGCCAAACTGGCAGACTGCAATCAGTAGCCGAAATTAGGTACAGCAGCTACCGACCACCTAACGTTAATGATAATGAGGTTAGAAAAAACAGCTGAAGGTGGCAGCTAGCTGGCTCAATTACAGGTACTCTTAAGCGTGAAATAACATTGGAAACAGCTAACCACAGTTGCTAAAAGTTACCCACAGTTGCTAAAAGTTACCGGTAGCTACCCTCTAGCTAGCTAGCTTTGTTGGTCCAGGTAGTGGGTAAGCTAGCCTCGTGCTTCGCCTGGGCTCCGCCGAATAAAATCCTTACCTACAATAATTACCTACAATAATAACCTACAATAACTACCGGAGTAAGCTACCTATAATACCAAACTACAATACCTACCTACAAACTAAATACATGGTTTAAGCTTAACTCAACACCATAAACGAAGCCAAGCTTACCTCTCCTTCTTACCTCTCCTTCTACAGATAGACAACAATTATCCCCATGGGGACATTTTTGTTGCGGCTCTGTGCATACATAAAAACACAAAGACATTTCAAATACATGGGATGCTGCTCCCTCTGGCAGTGTGACCCAGTTTGGCCTGTTCTGTTATTATTCTACTGTGCTGTGCCTCCTTGTGTGATCCTGACTGTCCGTGCTGTCCCTGTTTGTCCCCCTGTAGTCCAGTCTCATTGACCTAAAGGAGCACGCCTCCTCCCTGGCCTCCTCCAGCCTGAAGAAGGAGTCCAAGCTCAAGTCTCTGGAGATGGCCATCGAGCAGAAGAAAGAGGAGTGTAGTAAGTTGGAGACACAGTTACAGAAGGTAGGTCTCCTAGCACTGCGTCAGTTAAAAGTGTTAATGGAAGTGGGGCTTACATGGCTGGGATTCAAAGATGCACTGTAAATAATTACTTTGGATCAACCTAAAAAGTAAAAAAAAGAACTGATTACAAGTACATTACATTTGTTGAAACCAAATTTATGATTCAATACCAACTGTTATATTTGATTATTAACAAACATATATTTCAAGTTGGAACCTATTTCTTTCAACACTCAACTTACTTTTCCCCTTTGGTTAAACTTAAAAATAACATAAATACAAACTAATATAAAGTGCATTCAGAAAGTATTCAGGCCCCTTGACTTTTTCCACATTTTGTTATGTTACAGCCTTATTCTAAAATTGATTAAATAGTTTTTTCCCCTCATCAATCTACACACAATACCCCATAATTATAAAGCAAAAACTGGTTTTTAGAAATGTTTGCAAATGTATTAAAAAAATAAAAACTTAAATATCACATTTACATAAGTATTCAGACCCTTTACTCATTACTTGGTTAAAGCACCTTTGGCAGTGATTACAGTCTTCTTGGGTATGACGCTACAAGCTTGGCACACCTGTGTTTGGGGAGTTTCTCCCATTCTTCTCTGCAGATCCTCTCAAGCAATGTCAGGTTGGATGGGGAGCATCACTGCACAGCTATCTTCAGGTCTCTCTGGAGATGTTCGATCGGGTTCAAGTCCGGGCTCTGGCTGGGCCACTCAAGGACATTCAGAGACTTGTCCCGAAGCCACTCCTGCATTGTCTTGGCTGTGTGCTTAGGGTCGTTGTCCTGTTGGAAGATGAACCTTCGCCCCAGTCTGAGGTCTTGGAGCAGGTTTTCATGAAGGATCTCTCTGTACTTTGCTCCGTACATCTTTCCCTCAATCCTGACTAGTCTCCCAGTCTCTGCCGCTGAAAAACATCCCCACAGCATGATGCTGCCACCACCATGCTTCACCGTAGGGATGATGCCAGGTTTCCTCCAGACGTGACGCTTGGCATTCAAACCAAAGAGTTCAAACTTGGTTTCATCAGACCAGAGAATCTTGTTTCTCATGGTCAGAGAGTCCTTTAGGTGCCTTTGGGCAAACTCCAAGCGACCACTGTGTTCTTGGGGACCTTCAATGCTGCAGAAATGTTTTGGTACCCTTCCCCAGATCTGTGCGTCGATACAATCCTGTCTCGGAGCTCTATGGACAATTCCTTCAACCTCATGGCTTCGTTTTTGCTCTGACATGCACTGTCAACTGTGAGACCTTATATAGACAGGTATGTGCCTTTTCAAATCACATTCAGTCAATTGAGTTTACCACAGGTGGACTCCAATCAAGTTGTAGAAACATCTCAAGGATGATCAATGGAAACAGGATGCACCTGAGCTCAATTTCGAGTCTCATAGCAAATGGTCTGAATACTTATGTAAATAAGGTATACAAAATACATATATACAGTACCAGGCAAAAGTTTGGACACACCTACTCATTCAAGGGCTATGAAATAACACATATGGAATCATGTAGTAACCAAAAAAGTGTTAAACAAATCAAAATATATTTTATATTTGAGATTCTTCAAATAGTCACCCTTTGCCTTGATGACAGCTTTGCACACTCTTGGCATTCTGTCAACCAGCTTCACCTGGAATGCTTTTCCAACAGTCTTGAAGGAGTTCCCACATAGCACTTGTTGTCTGCTTTTCCTCCACTCTGCCGTCCGACTCATACAACTGATTGTGTATATTGGTTCCTGACTTCCCTGAAAAGTTGCATTTAGCGGGGGCTGTTCGATGCTAATGCAGTACGCCACAGGATGTTTTTGTGCTTTTCAAGGGCAGTCAAGTCTGGGGTGAACCAGGGGCTATATCTGTTCTTAGTTTTAATTTTTTGAATGGGGCATGCTTATTTAAGATGGAGAGGAAAGCACTTTTAAAGAACAACCAGGCATCCTCTACTGACGGAATGAGGTCAATATCCATCCAGGATACCCGGGCCAGGTCAATTAGCCTGCTCGCTGAAGTGTTTTAGGGAGCGTTTGACAGTGATGAGGGGTTGTCGTTTGACCGCGGACCCATTACGTACGCAGGCAATGAGGCAGTGATCGCTAAGATCCTGGTTGAAGATAGCGGATGTGTATTTAGAGGATAAATGAGTCAGGATGATATCTATGAGGGTGCCCATGTTTACGGATTTAGGGTTGTACCTGGTAGGTTCCTTGATAATTTGTGTGAGATTGAGGGCATCTAGTTTAGATTGTAGGACAGCCGGGGTGTTAAGCATATCCCAGTTTAGGTCACCAAGCAATACGAACTCTGAGGATAGATGGGGGGCAATCAATTCACATATGGTGTTCAGGGCACAGCTGTTGGCTGAGGGGGGTCTGTAGCAGGCGGCAACAGTGAGATACTTATTTCTGGAAAGGTGGATTTTTAGAAGTAGAAGCTCAAACTGTTTGGGCACAGACCTGGATAGTATGATAAGCTCTGCAGGCTATCTCTACAGTAGATTGCAACTCCGCCCCCTTTGGCAGTTCTATCTAGACGGAAAATGTTGTAGTTGGGAATGGAAATGTCAGAATCTTTGGTGGCCTTCCTAAACCAGGATTCAGACACTGCAAGAACATCAGGGTTGGCGGAGTGTGCTAACGCAGTGAATAACTCAAACTTAGGGAGGAGGCTTCTGATGTTAACATGCAAGAAACCAAGGCTTCTGCGGATACAGAAGTCAACAAATGATAGTGCCTGGGGAGCAGGAGTGATACTACATCACCAGATATGGCTAAAGGCTTTAAGAACTGGTCTTCTAGTGCGTTGGGTACAGAGAAAAAAAGGGGCAGATTTCTCCGGGTGTTGTAGAATAGATTCAGGGCATTATGTACAGACAAGGATATGGAAGGATATGAGTACAGTGGAGGTAAACCTAAGCATTGGGTAAAGAGATAGCATCACTGGAGGCACCGATTGAGCCGGTCTCCGCGTGTGTGGGGGGTGGGACAAATGAGCTATCTGAGACAGGTTGAGCAGGACTGGGGGCTCTACATTGAAAAAGTACAGTTAGAACTAACCGAAATAGCAATAGGCAAGGCATATAGACATGGGAGAGAGGCATAAGGCAGTCACAGGTGCTATTCGAGAGAGCTAAGACAACAGCTGGTAATGGCGACGAAAGTTTGAGCTGAGGCTAAACAGGATGGGGTACCGTATAAAGGAACAGTCCAGCAGGCATCAGCTGTGTAGCTGAGTGATCTTAATGTCCAGTGAACAGCAATAAGTAAGTCCGGGAGCAGTTCAGTGGCTGCTACGTTACATGCGAGCTAGAGGCACGGCTGTTGATTGCGTGTGCTAGCGGGCCGGGGCTAGCAGATGGATCTTCGTGGTCGTCGCAACGGGAAGCCTGTTGAAACCACATCAGACGATTACGTCGGCAGACCAGTCGTGATGGATCGGCGGGGCTCTGTGTCAACACCAGGAGATCCCGTCCGGTTGACAGAGAGGTAGATAGCCGGGAGATGGGCCTGGCTCGAGGCTAGCTCAAGGCTAACTGGGGTTAGCTTCAGGACAGTGGCCAACAACGACAACAGCCATTCGGTTGCAGCTAGCTAGTTGCGATGATCCGGTGTTAAGGTCCAGTGATTCAGTGACTCCGGCAGAAAATCTGATATGCTCTGGCTCGATAGAGCGATGTGCAGACTGTGCAGACTGGCCGACAATTGTCCAGGCTAGAGCTGGCTGGTAGGTAGTGCAGGCCACAGCCACGGACAATGGTGAAGACCGCTAACGGTGGCTAATAGCAAGTAGCTAGTTAACTGGCTAGCTGGCTAGTTTCAGCCAGAGGTTCTGGATAAAAATGTATGAAGAAACAACAGAATCCATTCCACATTGGGTGAGGCGGGTTGCAGGAAAGTATATTTAGTTAAAGGATGGAAAGTAGGTGCGACTGCACTTGAAGAAACCTTCAAAGTTCTTGAAATATTCCGCATTGACTGACCTTCATGTCGTAAAGTAATGATGGACTGTCGTTTCTCTTTGCTTATTTGAGCTGTTTTTGCCATATAATGGACTTGGTCTTTTACCAAATAGCCCCCCCCCCCCCCCCCCCCCCCCCCCCCCCCCCCCCTACCTTGTCACAACACAGCTGATTGTCTCAAACGCATTAAGAATGAAATAAAGTGCAAATTAACTTTTAAGAAGACACACCTGTTAATTGAAATGCATTCCAGGTGACTACCTCATGAAGCTGGTTGAGAGAATGCCAAGAGTGTGCAAAGCTGTCATCAAGTCAAAGCTGTCATCAAACACTTTTTTGGTTATTACATGATTCTATATGTGTTATTTCATAGTTTTGATGTCTTCACTATTATTCTACAATGTAAAACATTTTAAAAATAAAGAAAAACCCTTGAATGAGTAGGTGTGTCCAAACCTTTGATTGGTATTGTACATATACATTTGCAAAGAATGTCTAAAATCTGTTTTCGCTTTGTCATTATGGGATAGATTGAGGATAGTTTCTTACCCATTTTAGATAAAATGTGGAAAAAGTCAAGGGGTCTGAATACATTCCGAATGCACTTGTAACCCATTTTATGATGTTGTACCAGGTAGATTTGTCACATTGGAATTACCTATCCAAATGTCTTCAATTGGGTTACAAGCAATTCAATCCATTTCCTGTTAATCAAGATATTAAGTAGTTCCATAACATGAAATAATGACTCCAAACACTTTCTTTACATAAGATTTTCACATTAACTAGTCATAACCAAATAGTGACCATCTCATCAACAGAAATCTTTCCAGGGTCTTTAGTATTACAGTACTTATGCAGATATCATTTAAGATTCAGTGCTGGCAGTGAACATACAATCATAATTAAAAAATAAAAAATAAACATATTCCCTGTAATGACATTCACTCTTACGGGTGGGCAAAAATAGTAAACTTCAAGTCACGCCCACAATAGGCCACACCTACAACTATTCTGATAGACTGCTGCCGCTACATTGCACCCACAGCTATGCAATGCGAATTCGCATGAGGTGTTGAAAGCTATTTAGAAGCTTTCAATCAATTCAAAAAATCACATTGATCTGTCAAATTCGTTAATTGATTTCAGACCAATTTAATAGATAGGTTGAATGAACCAAAGCGAAATTTTGGACCATACCAATCAGAAAAAGCACTTCAGATGAACAACAGTGCTGTCCCACTTTTTACAGTGTGCAGCACAGTAGGTTGGTGGCACCTTAATTGTGGAGGACGGGCTTGTGGTAATGGCTGGAGCGGAATGGTATCAAATACGCCAAACACATGTGTTTGAAAACATTCCATTCGCTCCATTCCAGCCATTATTATGAGCCGTCCTCTCCTCAGCAGCCTCCACTGGTGTACACTATTCTCGTTCTGATGTTTATTATGTAAACTAGCGATGACAACCTGAACAACTCATTTTGGATGGCCTCAATATACACGTTTATCACAGTTAAAATCACTGTTAGAATCCCTGTTTAAGGGATGGCGAGGATTTAAATTAACATTGTTTAGTACAGAGCTTACTTATGTTTGATATTTGAGAGAAACTAATGTCCATTGTGCACAGTACTGCCAGTAAATAATCTCCTTTACTAATCTGCTTTTCTTCGGTTGCATTTTTACAATTCAATCTAAATCTGCAGTATGTAGACAGTGTTATACCTGTACGTCTGATGAAGACTTTTACTTTACCATGCATCAAGTCTAGCTGGCAGACATAGTCATATTAAAGGTAATGTTCAGTATTGCACGGTTGCCCCTATCACTTCCATTCTATTTTTTTAGCTAGCTGTGGCCAAGTTAGCGGAAGTTTGTAGTGTTTTTTTTAAAGAAAACCGAAACATGGAATTCAGATTCTCCTGGCCCATAGACTACTTTCAGTATTAGGAACCATCTAACATTAAGTTGAAAATCACTTAATTTCCCCTTTAAACCACTTATTATTCAACCATATCCAATTCTGGAAAAAAATTGTGCACTAATCTTCATTGCTACTGTATAATACAGCAACATCCTCAATTCAAGACCATTTTGGTTCAAACCTGGTTATGTGTGCTATCCCTGCTGGTTACTGGACTTGAGTGTGTAAAAAGCTGCCATGTTTTATCTGTCATGGTGGTTAACTCTGAAGCATTCTCTACTATTAAGCATGTCTGATATATACCCCAGTCCCTGCCAACACACACCCTTTTCACAATGCTGCTGCTACTACTATTAGCACACACATACACATCGCTGCAGCAACATTGTGAAAATGTCCAATCCCTCATTTGAATTTGCTGCTTGTTAAAACCCTCTCATCAGCGAAAACAAATACCTGTTCATATAAATTCCTATAATGATAGAATGTGAAAACTGGATCAGAGTTAACTGACTAACTGGATATTATTGGACCTATTATGTCTTGTTAACGTTCAGATAATGTTCCTACAACACAGTAGAACCACTGAGATGGGGAGCAAAGATGTCCATCAGATTTCCCCCTTGTGTCTCTCTGTCCCATACTGTGTCCTCCTCCTCCTCCGTCTGTTCCTCTCCAGTGGTCCTGGCTGTCTCAACCATAGAAATAGAATTACTAGAACGGGCACCCCCTTTCAAGTCAATGTTCCACGATGGGTGGACCGGCGGCCATATTGTGTGTCATTCTGTTTCTATGGTCTCAACATAATGTTCAACATGTACAGTAAACGTGTTCTCTGTATTGATACTGCTTTAACATGGAACATGTAACATGTAACATGTCTGTTCTTAGCCTGATCCAGGAACAGTTTGAGCTGTCTCGCCAACTCCCTTGGTCATTGTCTGTTTGGCATGAGAATGACCATATAGGAGTTTACGAGACAGCGCAAACAGATCTGGCACCAGGCTGGTCTGTTCTGCCCTGATCCTGCTGTTTCCACTCTCCTCTGGCTAATGGAGCTACATGCTAATGATATCTTCCCCGGGTCTCCCCCCTCCCCTCCCTCCTCGTTTCCCCCGTCTCCCCCCTTCACCACCTTCCTTTGCAATGTAGCAAGCAGAGCAGCTGTTCAGTCAGATGAACAACCCTGTAAGTCTTTCTCCGCTCCGGAGCTCGCTGTGGTGGCACATATTGAAAGCATGAGGACACCCAACGCCCACCAAAATCCACTCTAAAACCCTGGAACGTGCTATCTAGCTAGTGGGTGATCATGTCATGGTCACATGGACCCAGTCCCACTGTCACTGGTGTCTCTTTCACATAATGTATTATGCATGTTGACCTTTGCACTTAATGAGTATGATTTAGCTTTCCAACTACACGCATATTATGAGTTAGGCGTTTAATATTTGTGTTAAAAAACGATATTTGTGTTGGAGTTGGATATTCGCTTCTGTTCTGGGTGAGCTTAGCATTAAAGTGGAACTGACAGCATTTTAGCAACATAAAATCTTCTTAGAATCTGTTCATAAACACCCACAGGAACAATATGACACTTTAAAAAATCTGACAAACGAGTACTTAGATATGGTAATTTTCACGTTTTCATAAATTCTTAGAATGTTTGGGAGTTAAGTATACTAAGGCATTTGTGAAAATTCTATAGCAATATAGAGTGGGGAAGCGGCCATGTGTTTGGACAATTAATAGAATAATACACCTGAATGGATTTTTGCAAATATGTCAATACCACGGGAGTCCTCTTACATTTGGGAACTTTGCGGTCCTATTGATCAAACAACCATGAAAAGGTAGGCTCTCTCTCCCTCAGTTATGCACATCAATAACAACAAGATCAACAACTAATGCTAGCCAGAGCAAGATGAGCTAAAATATAATGAAGGAACATTAGAGAAACCCACTTAAACTTTTTCAGCTAGTTGGCCGTCAAAATTGCACTGATAAACGATGGGGAATTGTAGCCTACTCGTCCTTCTGCAGCCTGCCTGGCAAAATTTGGCTAGCTTGCTAGCTAGCTACTACCAGACACAAATGAGAGAACACCTCACTCTGACCATTTTACACGCCTTAGCAGAGCTGGTACATAGGCTATTTACATGTTATCTAGAGCGTCCATGACTAACTATTACTTATTTTGCCTGCGCTTACTGACACCGGTCATATTCAGCGGGTATTGCGTAAATTCATCAGTTATTCTGCGCTCTGAATTTGTGATCGCAAGAGATATGCTAGCTGGATAACAGTCGTTCAAGTTATTGCTAGCTAACCAAATAAAACCTGCATCTCTAGCTGTGTAGAGCCACCGAAAAATGATATGAGGGGAACAAGTCAGTCACTCAGTGACCACTCCGCCATTGACATGACATGATATGACATCCTCCTAGCAGCTAGCTAGCTATCTAGTTAACGTTAGGCTCCGTGTTTTTAGCTTGCTACATAAATAGATACGCTAGCCTCTTAGCCAAGTTATGACTGACTTGTGATCTTTGCCCTTGCTAGTTTGATTGTATTGACATTCCCAGCCTTAGTTACATTAATTTTTGTCCAAAATAGTCATTGAAACTGAAATAGTGCATCCCAAATGGAGGCAGCAAACAATGGACCAGGCCAACTGTGATTTACAACCTGATAGCAATATTTTTTGGACTACCAAGCAGTGTATTGGTGAATTATATGAATCATGCATTGAACTGCATCCATTTATTCTGCTTACAATGTCTTAGTGTACGTCATGGAATGTTGAGTCAAATAGAACCTATTTTTAAAACATCTTATAAAGTTGATTTTGTAGCATAAACTGGGAATTTGATATTTTCTACTGATATTTGTATTGTCTGTTTGTTTTTGAATCGGCAAAGTAGTTAAAAAGCTGTCAGTTCCACTTTAAGCTAAGCATTTAGCTTAGCATTTAGCTTAGAAAAGCATAGCTAGATGTCTGTATGACAATACAGTTTGGGCTAGTTTTTTGTGTGTCTTGATAGTAGGCCTACTCTATTGTTGATGCTCAACCCTTGGTCTCTGTAAGAAATAATTGTTTTAAGACCCGTGCAATGGTGATATAATGTGATCTTCACTCTGGTTGAGTGGTTCTTATAAATATTCCTAGCAAAAAAATTAGAATTTGCTAAAAGTTATGGACAGTTTCTTCTTCTTCTTCTTCTTCTTCTTCTTCTTCTTCTTCTTCTTCTTCTTCTTCTTCTTCTTCTTCTTCTTCTATAGTGTTCTCACATCCGGCATCATGACGTATGATTAATAGTAATATACCAAGATATCCATCAGCTCTGTACAGCTCTGTTTAAACAAACTTGGATTTAATAATAAACCAATTTTAGTGTAGCAATAGACCATGCATACCGGTTTAGGGCCTATAAGCGTGTGTTTCAAACAGCACCCTATTCCCTATACTGTACTACTTGTGACCAGGGCCCATAGGGTAGTACACTATAGGGAATAGGGTGCCATTTGGGACTCACTCTCAATTCTCATATCAGTTATAGGAATGCAACAGACCCCACCCGCAGCTAAGAGCATTAGATTCCCCCAAACTATTAGTTCTCACCTTACTCCTCATGCTTGAAATATGTCACTTGTTGTCACTGCTGGATTGACCTGACTCTGTTCATGGGGAAAGCATTGCAAAGACTGTCTTCCCAGCTGTGTTGGACTTTTGCATGCTGTGATTGGTCCTCCTGGTTATCGCATGCTTTGTTTTATCGTCACTGTTTGGCTCGCTTCACTGTTCACACGTTGATAAGTGGTCAATTTAATAGAGGCGTAATATTAACCTTCTAACATTGGCAGTAGTTGAAGTGGCTTACTGTGGTGGTGTATATTTGTCTAGATACAGGATGCTCTCTCGTTGCATTAGCTCTTGTGTTGGGTCTGTGGCGTTGCTCTGTGGCTGTCAGCGTTGTCCATATGATGTTTCAGAGGTGATGTGTACTTCTGATCTGTTTTGTGTGTTTAGAAGGGGACTCAAGCCGTTCAAGTTTTACTGTATGATGGTCAAAACCCTATCCTATTTCAGTGACTTGGACACACTACAGGTGATACGGTGTGATTATCCAGAGGGATATGAGAGGAGAGATGACAGTGATTATACCTAGTGATTATAACCAGGGCCTAAATTCCCAAAGCATCTCAGAGTAGGAGTGCTGATCTATGATCAGTTTAATCTTTGAGATCATAAGATTGTGTAGACAGGTCAGGATCCTAGATCAGCACTCCTGCTCTGCGATGCTTTGTGGATACAGGCCCTGGTCCTACCTGTACACACAGGGACTGTTTCCCCAACCCAGATTAAGCTGACTTCTGGACTAAAAGGAATTCACGCTAAATGTTGAATCTCCATTGAACGTGCTCTTTTGTCCAGGACTAGCCTTAATCTGTGTCTGGGAAGCAGTCTGCTTTGGCTCCTAAAAAGTTATTGTCATGAGGTCAGCGAGTCTGTAAGGAGGTACTCAGGTAAACTAATGACACTAATGACATATCGCTTGTATTTCCTGTTATCATTAGCATATTGTAACAGGCATAAGCAGCCTTCAGTTCCGATCACGCTGGTACAGTAGTCTCACGGGACTGTTTAATGGAACTAAATAACAGTCTCAGTCAGAGCTAATGAGCCAGTAGCAGTTATGATGCCCGCTGTTCACTATGCTTTACTCAAACAGTACAGATAGAGAGAGAGAGAGAGAGAGAGAGATCGAGAGAGAGAGAGAGAGAGAGAGAGAGAGAGAGAGAGAGAGAGAGCAAGAGAGAGACAGAGAGAAGAGAAGTGAGGAGAGGAGACAAGAGTTGTTCATTTAAGACACTGACTGACTGTGGAGCTTGTCTGTTCTGTGTTCTCTCCCTTCTGTGTGTGTGTGTTCATACTTGCGTCCGTGTGTGTGTGTGTGTTCACACTTGCGTCCGTGTGTGTGTGTGTGGGTCTGTTTCCCCACGTCTATGACCATGCAGAAGGCCCATGAGGTCCATGAGGTCCAGCAGCAGCAGCAGGTGGGGCTGGGCTCCAGGGGAAACCCAGATTATGTGGACCGGGAGCGGGAGCAGCGGGTCAAGCTCCTGGAGAAGGAGGTGTCCTACTACAAGGAGGAGTCTGGCAAGGCCCAGGCTGAGGTGGAGAGGCTACTAACCATCCTCCGAGAGGTGGAGACTGAGAAGAACGACAAGGACAAGAAGATCGCCGAGCTGGAAAGGTATTCTCCTTGATATGTTTGTTATGTATGTGCATGTGCTCTTGTGTAGTTGATGTAGTCTCTCATCCTGTTGTTGTTATTGTTGGTGTTGATGGTATATGGGTGTTACGTCATTCTGTGAGTCTGCTCTGGTGCCATCCATGCCCTTCTATGTTTTGCCCCGCCTGGGTCCTGTACTAGCCAATGGTGGCAATCTGCTTCCTACTTATAGTTCGTAGAGCATTAATGAACCAAAAATTTCATCTTTAGACTTTGGATTGGCCATTTTAGTGAGATCCCAAGTGGTCATGTAAAATACTGCAGAAAAGGGTCTGTCCTGACACTCAAGGTGGGTCAAACTGTAAATTCTTGTCTCATGAGCACCCCCTGGCAGTGATACGGTGCCATTATATTCCGTGTGCCATACTCATGATGTGACTGTTGGGTTAATTAACTGTGTTTTTGTTCTTCTTTACCCCCTTTTCATTTTCCTTGTTCACGCCAACCACTCCTTTTTCCCTCTCCCCCTCCGTGTCTCCATGTCTTCTTTCCTGCTGCCCTTCACTCCTGGCCATCCACCTCCTCTCCTTTAAACTTTTCCTCCACCTTTCTCTTTCTTTCTCTTTCTTTCTTTCTTCCTCTTCTTACCACTTTCTCTCCCTCTTTCCCCTCTCTCTCTCTGTATCTACCCAACACTTTACCCTTCTTACCCTCCTCCTTCTACCGCTGGCCCAGCCCCCCTCACTCTGCCCCTGTCCCTCGCCCCGGCCTCGGCCCTGTCCCTCGCCACGGTCCCGGTGGCAGAGCCCCCCCTGACCCACTCCCCCCTGTGTCCTCCGCTGCCCCTGCTGCTGCCCCCCAGCAGATAGGGGGAATGGTGTGGGATTTCCTGGGAAAGTGAGTGCTCTGCCCCTGGCACTTCAGCTCGGCTGCCCTCGTGGTTTACGTCTGCGACTGCGACTGCACCTGCATCTGGTCTCACCTGTCCGTATGTCTGTCTGTCTGGGTCTGCCTGCTGTCAGTCTGTACGACTGAGAGATCCACAGATCTTTAAAGCAACGCTATGGGCTCTCTGCTGCTCTCATCTGTTCATTTCTTTGGTTTGATTTGGAAGCCCATCAGCTCATCCATACTATGTAAAGATCACTGGATCTGTTGTGCAAATTTCTTGGCAGAAGTTTTGCAAAAGTCTGCATCTGTGTGTGTGAATGTGTGTGTGAATGTGTGTGTGTGTGTGTTATGTTGTATGTGCATGTGTTTGTATCATTGTGTGCATGTCCTCAGCCTGCTTCTCCATCCGTGTCTGCACACCCTTTATGATTCAGTAACTAAGGTGAGAATGGGAAATTGAAAAAGATTAATGTTATACAGTGCCTCCAGAAAGTATTCATACCCCTTGACTTATACCAAATTGTGTTGTGTTACAGCTGGATTGTGCAACATTTCCCCATTATTCTTCTCACATTTCTTCAAGCTCTGTCAAATTGGTTGTTGATCATTGCTAGACAACCATTTTCAGGTCTTGCAATAGATTTTCAAGCAGATTTAAGTCAAAACTGTAACAAAGGCCATTCAATGTCTTCTTTGTAAGCAACTCCAGTGGAGATGTGGCCTTGTGTTTTAGGTTATTGGCCTGCTGAAAGGTGAATTCATCTCCCAGTGTCTGGTGGAAAGCAGACTGAACCAGGTTTTCCTCTAGGATTTTGCCTATGCTTAGCTCCATTCCGTTTCTTTTTTATTATGAAAAACTTCCCAGTCCTTAACGATTACAAACATACCCATAACATGATGCAGCCACCACTATACTTGGAAATATGGAGACTGGTACTCCGTAATGTGTTGTGTTGGATTTGCCCCAAACATAACACTTTGTATTCAGGACAAAAAGTTAATTGCTTTGCCACATTTTTTGCGGTATTACTTTAGGGCCTTGTTGCAAATAGGATGAATGTTTTGGAATATTTTTATTTCTTTCCCTCCCCCTTCCTGTCCAGCAACTGAGTTAGGAAGGACACCTGTTTCTTTGTAGTCACTGGGTGTATTAATACACCATCCAAAGTGTCATTAATAACTTCACCATGCTCAAAGGGATATTCAATGTCTACTTTTAGGTGATTGGAAAACCTCCCTGGTCTTTGTGGTTGAATCTGTGTTTGAAATTTACTGCTCGACTGAGGGACCTTACAGATAATTGTATGGGGTCCAGAGATGAGTTAGTCATTCAAAAATCATGTTAAACACTATTATTGCACACAGAGTGAGTCCATGCAACTTATTATGTGACTTAATAAGCACATTTTTACTCCTGAACTTATTTAGGCATGCCATAACAAAGGGGTTAATTAATTTGTCAACATTTTGAAAAGCATAATTCCACTTTGACATTATGGGGTATTGTGTGTAGGCCAGTGACAAAAAAAACTAAATTGAATCCATTTTAAATTCAGGCTGTAACACAACACAATTTTTTTTAATTATTATTTAATTACAATTTGAAAAAGTAACGGGGTGTGAATACTTTCTGAAGGCACTGTATATGACTAAACTAACTATATCACAAACTAATCAATCATCTGCAGCAGCATGTATTAATTAACATAAACATACAGTATATTGTACTAATAATGAACTTGTCCATATATTTAAAAACACATTAAACAAATTCAATTGTACATATACAAGCCACAATGACATCATATATTTCTCATATACACTACCGTTCAAAAGTTTGGGGTCGCTTAGAAATGACCTTGTTTTCGAAAGAAAAGCAATTTTTTTGTCCATTAAAATAACATCAAAATGATCAGAAATACAGTGTAGACATTGTTAATGTTGTAAATGGCTATTGTAGCTGGAAACTGCTGATTTTTAATGGAATATCTACATAGGTGTACAGAGGCCAATTATCGACAACCATCAGTCCTGTGTTCCATTGGCAAGTGTATCATTTTAAAAGGCTAATTGATCATTAGAAAACCCTTTTGCAATTATGTTAGCACAGCTGAAAACTGTTGTGTTGATTGAAGAAGCAATAAAACTGGCCTTCTTGAGACTAGTTGCGTATCTGGAGCATCAGCAATTGTGGGTTCGATTACAGACTCAAAATGGCCAGAAACAAATTACTTTCTTCTGAAACTCGTCAGTCTATTCTTGTTCTGAGAAATGAAGGCTATTCCATGTGAGACATTTCCAAGAAACTGAAGATCTCGTACAACGCTGTGTACTACTCCCTTCACATAACAGCGCAAACTGTCTCTAACCAGAATAGAAAGAGGAGTGGGAGGCCCCGGTGCACAACTGAGCAAGAGGACAAATACATTAGAGTGTCTAGTTTGAGAAACAGACGCCTCACAGGTCCTCAACTGGCAGCTTCATTAAATAGTACCCGCAAAACACCAGTCTCAATGTCAACAGTGAAGAGGCGACTACGGGATGCTGACCTTCTAGGCAGAGTTGCAAAGAAAAAGCCATATCTCAGACTCGCCAATAAAAACAAAAGATTAAGATGGGCAAAAGAACACAGACACTGGACATAGGAAGATTGGAAAAAAGTGTTATGGACAGACGAATCGAAATCTGAAGAACATTTGTGAGACGCAGACCAAATGAAAAGATGCTGGAGGAGTGCTTGATGCCATCTGTCAAGCATGGTGGAGGCAATGTGATGGTCTGGGGGTGCTTTGGTGGTGGTAAAGTGGGAGATTTGTACAGGGTAAAAGGGATCTTGAAGAAGGAAGGCTATCACTCCATTTTGCAACGCCATGCCATACCCTGTGGACGGCGCTTGATTGGAGCCAATTTCCTCCTACAACAGGACAATGACCCAAAGCACAGCTCCAAACTATGAAATAACTATTTAGGGAAGAAGCAGTCAGCTGGTATTCTGTCTATAATGGAGTGGCCAACACAGTCACCGGATCTCAACCCTATTGAGCTGTTGTGGGAACAGCTTGACCGTATGGTACGTAAGAAGTGCCCATCAAGCCAATCCAACTTGTGGGAGGTGCTTCAGGAAGCATGGGGTGAAATCTCTTCAGATTACCTCAACAAATTGACAACTAGAATGCCAAAGGTCTGCAAGGCTGTAATTGCTGCAAATGTTGAAGGACACAATTATTATTTCTATTAAAAATCATTATTTCTAACCTTGTCAATGACTACATTTCCTATGCATTTTGCTATGTTTCCTATTCAAACTCATTTCATGTATGTTTTCATGGAAAACAAGGAAATGTCTAAGTGACCCCAAACTTTTGAACGGTAGTGTATGTCTCATATATGTCAGTTTTGACATATTTAACATTCATATTCCTTTTCAATTATACGTACCCTGTTCCCATCCTTTAACATGAGCTCTCTCATTACAACAGAATGCCATTATTGGATCTGTACTGTAGCAAATGCACATATTGTACATGTACCTTACACATATACCATAACCAGACACACACACACACACACACACACCTTTTTCTGTGTCCTTTTGTGTGTTGGCTGTTTGGTGTAGCTTCTGTACAGTAGGAAGGTCTTTAGAGCTGAGTCCTTCTCCTGCCGTGAGCACGCCGCTTCCCCTGCTCATTCCAACTCCCCATCTGCCCCCCTGCCCCCCCACAACCACCCTGACCCTTTTTGCTCTAATACCTCCACCCTGCTATTCACAGTGAAACCCATCCTCTCTACACTGACCTCTCCCCTGCTCTCCCTTGGTCTCCCTGCCCTCTCCCCTGCCCAGCTTGCTGTGCCAGATGTAAAGGCTAGCTCTCAGCCTAGTAGCCTGGCCTGCATGACTAGAGCTGCTGTGCTCCAGGTCAACTGTGCTCTGCTCAGTGAGTGAGCTGCTTTAGTAGGTAGGGTCTGTATGTCCTCTACTCAACCCCCCAGAATCTGGTTTGGTCCCCAGGGGTGTCAGTTAGTTGGTTGGTCCCCTCTGTCTGGCTGTCTGCCATGGCTCCCTTGACTGGTTCCCTTGCTGCCTTGCCCACTTGGGCTCCTCTCTGCCTTCCTGTCTAGCTATACTAGCTCTCTTGTCCCCCTCCCTCCTCCTAGCCTACCCCCGCTCGATCCCCCTCGCTCTAGCCCGGCTGGTGTCCTGACTGACTGCATGCCCGGCTCGCACTCACAGACTGTGCAGCCAGCAGCTAATACACAGGCAGGGTTCTAACCTGGCTGTCAGAGGAGAAGGTGTATCCTGTGCATCCTGCATTAGCTTTGTCTGTCAGGCTGCTGTGTCCTTCAGTGACTGACTCTCATTGGTGCTTCTGATGATGATGATCTCTCCCTGTCTGTCTCTGAATACACTCCAACCTCTTCTGGTTCTGAGGTCCTCTGTTGTCGTTCTTCTCTTCTGTTATGATTCTAACGTTTCTATGGTTTCTTTTACTCTTCTCCTCTTTTCCTCCTGTCTCCTGTGTGCGCTGCCATCCCTCCTTCCTCCTCTTCCTCCTCCTCCTCTTCTTCCTCTCCTCCGCCTGCAGCCTAGCTCCCAGGTAAGTACGAACCCCTTTTGGCATGCCCCCCCCCCAACAACACCCTACACCTGAGAGGTGCAACTACCCCCCTCCCATTCTAACTCTTTCTGCCTAAACCTGTGAGTCTAAACATATTAACATGGACTTGTCTATGTCTCATTTGTGTCTCATATATGTATTGTGTATTATCTTTCCTGTATGTCTCCTGAATGTTTTTCATTGATTTTATATCAAAATGTCAGTGTAATTTACAGTACCTGTATGTCTAACCTGTGGTATGTTGTGTCCATCTCTATGTGTTTCTAATGAGTCTCACAGTCGCCTTGTATCACTCACTTATATGTGTGTTAGGGGTTGGAGTTCTGTGTGTCTTGATCATGTGTTATACTGTATTTACAGACAACGTGCAGTAGACAAAGCATTAGTAATGCCTCAAAAGTTGTTTCCCCGGGCCTCCCGAGTGGCGCAGTGGCGTCACTACAGACCCGGGTTCGATCCCGTGATCGGGATTTCCTTGTCCCATCACACTCTAGCGACTCCTTGTGGCGGGCCGGGCGCCTGCAAGCTGACCCCGGTCGCCAGCTGGACGGTGTTTCCTCCGACACATTGGTGCGGCTGGCTTCCCGGTTAAGCGAGCAGTGTGTCAAGAAGCAGTGCGGCTTGGCAGGGTCGTGTTTCGGAGGACGCATTGCTCTCAACCGTCGCCTCTCCCGAGTCCATAGGGGAGTTGCAGCGATGGGACAAGAGTGTAACTACCAATTGGGGAGAAAAAGGGGTAAAAGTAAAAAAAACAAACATACAAAACAAATCCCCAACCCAAAGAGACATAATCAGGAACGATTGGTACCGGTAGTCCTGATAGTGGTGAGGTACGAAGATGAGTAGTAGGACTGTAGAGGGTTGAACTCTGACCTCCTCTGTGGTTCTCCATCCAGGCAGGCCAAGGAGCAGGTTACTAAAAAGGGGGGCCCCAACCTCAAACTGGGCCCCCAGGGGGACAAGAAGCCTGGTCAGATAATGGGGGATCCTCGAAAGGACAACACCATGGACCCAGCCCAGCATGTAAAGGTATGTTATATATATATATATATATATATAGTGTGTGTGTCTGAGACAGAAAGAGAAAGATTTCTCATCGTAGTTTAACAGGGTAGTGCATATAGGAGAGCGAGAGAAAGTGAGGGGGATATAGAGAGAGGAGAGAGAGAGAGAGAGAAAGTGTGAGTAATCACTTCCTCTTTTTGTGTGTCAGCTGGAGGAGATGATGAACACCCTGGAGAGGACCAGACAGGAGCTGGACGCCACCAAGCAGCGCCTCTCTTCTACCCAGCAGTCCCTGCAGGAGAGGGACGGTCACCTGACAAACATGAGGCATGAGCGCAGGAAACAGCTAGAGGAGATCCTGGAGATGAAGTAAGTCACGGGACATCATACTGTACATTAGCAGAGCAATGAAACATATTCATGTTCTTCATATTTATTTAAGGTTTTCAAGAAGGGCTGCGGTCAAATAATTCATGTAGGACAAGGATATAAAACAGGACTTGCTTGGCCTTGTGAATGCTCAAAAGCCATCTCAAGATCAATCTTCGGATGTGGGAAAGATGCATGTTTTGTCTCAGCTGTGCTGAATGGTATCCTCTCTCTCTCTCTCTCTCTCTCTCTCTCTCTCTCTCTCTCTCTCTCTCTCTCTCTCTCTCTCTCTCTCTCTGTCTCTCTCCATAGGCAACAGGCCCTGCTGGCAGCGATCAGTGAGAAGGACGCTAACATCGCTCTGCTAGAGCTGTCTGCCTCTGGGAAGAAGAAGACCCAGGAAGAGGTTTTGGCTCTGAAGAGGGAGAAGGACAGATTGATGCACCAGCTCAAACAGCAGGTAAGGACTGTTCCCCGGGTGGACATTGTATTCAACCTTTACTCAGGGTTGGTGTCAATTCCATTTCAATTCAGTCAATTGGCCCAGCGTCGTCCAGGGTAGGGGAGGGAATGGCCGGCAGGGATGTAGCTCAGTTGGTAGAGCATGGTGTTTGCAACGCCAGGGTTGTGGGTTCGATTCCCACGGGGGGCCAGTATGAAAAATATAAATAAATAATGTATGCACTCACTAACTGTAAGTCGCTCTGGATAAGAGCGTCTGCTAAATGACTGAAATGTAAATGTAATGTACCTGGACCTGGACCAATAAAGCTAGCGGGTAGCTACTGGTAACTATTAGCAACTGTGGATAGTTGTTTCCAATGTTATTTCACGCTTAAGAGTACCTGTAATTATGCCAGCTAGCTACCTACCATTCAGCTGTTTTTCTAACCTCATTATCTGAAGTGTTAACGTTAGGTAGTTAGTAGCTACTGTACTCGAAATGTAGCTAGCTTGTTGCTACCTGGATAGCTAACTAGACAATAGCTGGAACGACCTAGCTGTAATTTCTTTCTTTCTCATTGAAGAGTATTTAGAAAATAGGAATTTCAGTTTACTTCCTGAATTGACTGAATTTAAATGGAATTAACCCCAACCCTACCTTTATGTATACAGGAGATCCAAAAAGTATATTTTGCAGGAAGGACTTGCTCACGATAGCAACAGTGGTCCGTTATAAGTTTATTTCAGCTACTCAGTTGCTACTCTCTCGCTTCTAACTCAATCAATTCCTTGCCATTAGGTACTCATAATAACTAACTCAGTGTTTGGGTCTCTCGTGTTAAATTGTAGCACTGACATGTTTGTGTTTTGTTCAACAGACACAGAGCAGGATGAAGCTGATTGCAGACAACTATGAAGACGACCACTACCACCCCCATCCTCCCCACCACACCCAACCACAGCAACCCCACCCGGGCCCCCAGGTTCAGCTCCCCCAGCCCCAGTATCAGCACCCTCCACACCCCCAGCAGCAGCAACAGCCCCCGTACCCCCATGCCCCACACCCCCAGCACCCTCAGCCCCCACCCCAACAACACCCACACCCCCAGCAGCCTCAACAGCAGTACCCCCCTCATCCACAGCAGCACCCACAGGGACACCCCCAACATCCCCTGCCCCAGCATCAACAACACCAACCACGGCCCCAGCATCCACAGCAACAACACCCCCACCCAGGACAGCACCCCCATGGGCCTCCGCCACAGCAGCAGCACCCCCACCCCCAACAGCACCCCCAACAGCACCCCCAACAGCACCCCCAGCAGCACCCCCAGCAGCACCCCCACGGCCCCCCTCAGCAAGCCCCCCCATCCCCAGCACCCACATCCCCAACAGCACCCCCACCACCCTCCCCACACCCCGCAACAGCACGGCGGGCACCCCCGCCACCCGCCCCCACACCACCGCGGAGGACCAGGGCCTGCCAGAGGACCCACCCATGCCGGCCATCGCCCCTCCCCTGACCAGGTCAGATGTCTCGCTATCTTGTGTTTACAATCAGGGACTGGATTTTAAAATGCGTTTCAGAGTAGCAGTGCTTACCTAGGATCAGGTGGCCCCCTTTCCATATAATCATATTCTTTATGATCTAAAAGGTCAAACTGTCTCTAGATCAGCACTACTCTGAGACGTTTTATGACTAAAGGCCCAGAACACTGACTGATATTATTTTACTCATTGTAGCTACTAAAGTGGTGCACTTACTGTACTTATTCAAAACCATATTATCTTACTCATCATGAATTTCATTGCCAACTCTAAAGTGAGCACTTTGAGAGGCTACAATTATGGAAAATATTTAGGTCCATTTTGTTTTTACAATAACAGATGTTTTTGCAGACACTATTAGACAAAAAGCAATCTGTCCCTCTCAGTTTCCTATCCTCTCTGTGGTCTGGTGGTCTAATGGCTAGAGTGTTGCATTGTGGGTCTAAATCTATGTTTAGATGAACTCTAAGGCTGTGTCTCAAATGGCAGCCTATACAGTATAGTGAAGTACTTTTGATCAGAGCCCTCTGAGCCCTGGTCAAAAGTAGTACACTATAGGGAATAGGGTGCCATTCCTGATGTGAAATGAAAAGAGACCCAATTTCTATTCTCAGCTTTGCTCTGCAGTCTTGCCTTGACCAAGCTGAACACTCTCAACCTTTTCAACCAATACAGGCTGTAAATATCACAAAGTGGCTCTTTAATTAACCTATGCAATGCAGATTGGATTGATAAGCAACAAGCAGACTTACATGATGTCAACATGACTATTTCCTTCATCCTTTATGCAATATGCTATCCAATATACTTTTGCTATCCTCCATATTAATCCTTTATAATCCTGTATACGGTATACCACTATCCTGACTCTTAATCTACTGCTTTCAATCATTTCTCTACTGCATATTTCCCTACTCATGACATGCTGTCAGATATTATACCATGGCATTGTTGAATGCTCATTTTTGATTGGCTTGAAGGGCATTCTAGAACGTGCATTATTTCCCTAAAACGCATGGTATATCAGCACGGTAGAATTCAATGGCTATAGTTAATTCTTCTATGTTTGAAAACATTATTGGCATTGTTGAATTATATTTTCATAATAGCAAGCTGGGACTTATGGTTTGGTTAGCTAAACTAGCAAGTCTGTCTGTTTGGTTACCAAGGCAACTACTGTAGCTATCTAGTAAACTTGTTAGCTAATTCAGTGGATGTTGAACACATTTCTATCTGCAAATGAACACATTTCTAGCGGCAAATGTGTTAAATTATAGCCATGATATAAAAGGCCATGTTTGTTGTTATTGCATATCCATGGATATCCTGCAATAATTGGCTGTTGAGACTGTTCTGTATTTTTTTTTTATTCATGGTAATTCACCTTTATGAAAAAAAGATTGCAGTCAGAGTGCAGTATAACTGCAGTATGCTGCAAATACTGCGTCCAAAATAACAGTTTTTTTTACTGCAGTAATTTTGCAGTGTAACTGCAGTTACAGTGCATTATAACTGCTGTTCAACTGCAGTACACTGCAGTTATTCTGCAATTACTGCGTCCGAAATACCACAGTCGACTACAGTTACTGCACTTTTACTGCAGTTTTGAATTGTAAGGGATCACTACAAAGCTGTAGCCAGTGTGTCGTGGAACACACCTTCCACGTCGTTCATTATTTTCTATAGAACACATAGCCCCTCGTTGATTATCCCTTACATACCTTTGACTAATACTAACTCCTTTCTACTCTCTTCACTTCCTGCTGACCTTTTCTGCCGGCCTATAACACTGTCACCGATAGGATGACGAGGAGGGCATTTGGGCGTAATCGTGTCCATGACAACCAAAGCTCTGATTTTGTTCTGAGGGGTGAGACGTTTTGAAACAACTTCCTGCCTTTTCTCTTTCTCTTCCTCTTCCTTTTGTTCTGTTCTGTTCTCTCTCTGTGTTAGGAGTGTGCTGTGGTATTTTTTTTTGTTGCTGACTGAGATTTAACTCTCTCTCTTCCTTCCTGTCCCCCCCCCCCCCCCTCCCTTCCTTCCTGTCCCCCCCCCCCCCCTCCCTCCCTCCCTTCCTGTCTCCCTGCCTCCCGATGATTCAGTTACTATTGGAGGAGCACAGCCATGCCATGATGCTGAAATACATTGACTACCTACCAACCTTTTGTTACCACCACACAATCCACACTTCAAAATGGGGCCTTTATTTTTATTTTTTACTGAGGATGAGGATAAAGAGGAGGAGGAGGAGGAGGAGGAGGGATGAAACAGGTGGGAGGGCCAGACGAGGAGACTGACAGTTGAGGTACAACCCACTTCTAGATTCAATCCAACTTTATTTGGAGAGTCCTCTTTAGGGTTTCAAAATTCCGGTAACTTCAGAAAGTCCCCAGGTTTTCCAGAAATCCCAGTTGGAAGATGCTTATTCCTTCCTGTTTCCAGGAATCTTCCAACTGGGATACATTTATAGATGTAGAATAAACACTGTGAGTTACTGTTTAATGTTCAGTCGACAATCACTGTAAGCGGACAGGAACGACTGTAGTGCTGATTGTACTATTGTGTGTGTTTTTACAGATGATTGAGGAGCCATCATGTGAAGAGGGGCAGATGCAGCACTCTACAGACATTGGAGAAACTGGCCAGCTCTTTGAGAGTGACTCTGGGGAGGAGGAGTCTTCCTACAGACACATAGGTGTTGTCTGTGAAGTTAGACTGGGTTGGACAGACTGGGTCCCACTCAGACAGGCATCTGAGCTCTGGTCTCAGCTCTGTGGTTCTGCTCACACAGCCACTCTGGCACAGTTGTCAAGCTACTCAGCTCACCTGTCTGTCACCTGCTGGCCCTACAGAGCGCCGCCTGCTCTAATAAGACTAGCTGCACCCCCTCACCCACCTGGCTAAGATCTAACGACTGGCTCTGCCCTGTTTACATTAGGTGCGTTCAGTTCGCTTTAACATTTGCTACGTTGCGGAACGGTTTGTACTGAACAAACATTCTTGTACGTTCTTGAACAGACTTTGAGGTACATTTCCTCCCGTTTGGTGGGTATGGCGGGGTGTGGCTTGAAGCAATGAGTGACATATTTAAAGGGCAGTGGCCATGCTGACAGCATTCCCCAACCCACAACCCAACCCCTCCCCGCTTTTCAACTGGTCATTCAGTACAGCACCGTTTCCGTTCAATTGAACGTTCCAGAACGTAAAAACGTACTGAACCCTGGCTTGCTCCCCCGTTCTCACCAACCTGCGTCTAATTGGTTCACTCTCCTGGCTCCGCCTTGCTTACCTGAGCTTTCTACCTGATTGGTTCCTCTGTATCAACAGTCCTTTCTCTGATTGGTTCACCTGACTGGCTCTGCCCTGTTTTCCTGATTTGCCCCACCCTGCTGACCCCCGGCTGGCTGTGATTGGCTGACAGTCTTGCACAGCAGCTTCACAGTGCTTCTTTTACTATGTTTTTTTATTTTTTATTTTATTTTTTTCTCTTTGTCAGAGATAGCCTGCTCTCTTCCCGCATATTTAATGAAGTGCCATACAGTTACAGCTTTAGTTTACATTTACATATGCGTTAACAGCTAACCTATTTCAGAGGAAGTTATTTTGCTGTGTCTCTAAAAGCGAAGTTGTGCTACTTATTTGTATGTTCTAATCTGTTGAGTGCGTTTCATTTGCAGTGCTTGACTATGGTTATGAGTGCTTTGTGTTAAGGCTATCAGAACAAGGAAGAGGAAGAGCTCTTATCTGACCAATGGGCAGCCACTAGAGCTCTTATCTGACCAATGGGCAGCCACTGGCCTTGCCTCGAGTACTGAAGGTTTCCTTGTGCCGTTAATGTGCTGTCTGGCATGGCCTTATGGGCAGGGCCCTGTACTGGGGGTGTCGCAGGGCCTTTGGGCTTAGGGCTGCCATCTGTGTATCTCTCCTGTTACCTCGGTTGATAACCAGATGCAGTCAGATCTCCAATCTATGCAGACGTCAGAACTAATAATGCCATTTTGAATCCAGTCATGAGTCAAGGGCACCAATCAAAAAGCGTTTAGATGTATTAAAGCAGCACGAGAACCAATCTGAATGGTCTATTCAGAACATACACCAATCAGATTCCGTTGTTATGATGTGTTTCTCAGCATAATATGCACCTATGCACCTCCTCCTCCCCTGTTGCAGGGATACTTCTAATGGTGCTTTTAGATCACTGGTGCTCACACAACATGGTGTCCAACCAGAGAAACCGCTGAGAGACATGGCCACTGGACATTGTGCATCCATGTTATTCAATAGGGAGTTTATCCCAAAACCTGGTGTGCTTATAAACTGTAGAAGACTGTGTTGTACATAGGATCAGCTGGAGAGACTCTGAGAAAATGGTACAAGGAGGGTATAGATTTTATACGTTTAATGACATCCATGGACACCCAGGTGTATGAGATTTCCTGCCTTTACAGCCCTCTCTCCTGCTCATTGACTCCCTCCTCCTTCTTCTTCTTCTTCTTCTTCTTCTTCTTCTTCTTCTTCTTCTTCTTCTTCTTCTTCTTGTTCTTCTTCTTCTTTTTTCTCTTTCTTCTTCTCTTTCAGCAGTTGAAGTCTGTGCTAACCCAAACCTAGTGACTCATTTTGTCCTTCTCAACAAGGTGGCCTCGTTCATATCATATACATATTATATATATATATATATATAGAGAGAGAGAAAGAGATCTATGGAGTGTGTCTATATGTGGTCAGAATATTGTCTGAAAAAAATATTGAGGATAAAAATACATCTTTCTTTTTTTTTTTTTTTTTTTGGCCTAAGGATAGAGAAAACCCTTATTCTGTGTGTGGAGTGACGTATGTGACTTTCCGCTGTTTTGTACATTAGAAGAAAAAAATCCTTAGCAGCAAGCAACATTCCCTCTGTGGTTCTCACGAAGGATATTCTGGCCTAAGAAATCTTGAGACACAGCCCAAAGTAAAGGAGTGAGAAAATGATTCCATTCTCATTTAGAAGAGCTAATGTTACATTCCTGTTGCAGTGTGAGCAATCTATTTTGAGACTCTCTCACATACACACAAACACGCGTATTCTCTCTGCAGAGAGGCGAAGACATCCTATTTTTGCAGCTCACTAAAGTAGCAAAGAGATTATTTTCTGCAGCACAGCGGACAGAAACTTGCACTTATGAGTGAGGAGGACTGCCTTCATTAAAGTGGAGGTTTGGAGTGACTCCGTCATTGTAGATGCATTGTCCAGCCAGTCTCTGTGTTGTGTGTTTGTTTGTTGTCGTTGTTAATGTCGTTGTCCTGGTGTACCCAGATGTGGTGACATACGTGACCGTGACAGTTGAGTGTGTAGAAAACCACACAAACCCTTCTAGTGGGAAAACAACCAAGACTGTTACACCCCCCCCTCCCCCCCACCACCACCACCCCCACCTGCCCCCCTCCGTCCTCCATGGTGCCTGTGTGTGTGTTTGTCCCTCCTCGTGGCTGATATCGTGACTGTTGTAGAAAAGTGCCCCATCCTCCAACGGGATCCAAACAGAAGTGATCCCTATACGATCGTCACCTCTGTGTCCATATGTCTGTCAGCTTCTACACAGAATACAGACAGGACAGGCGTCTCACAACTCCTCCTCCCATTGACCAACAATCACCAGTTTGGATTAAATGAAATTGAAGAAAAAAAATACATTGTGTGGATGTTGTGTTTGTGTTTTCAATGTCAGAGATTGGTACTAATGATCTGTAAAAGGAAAGGCAATCCAGAAGGGCACACGGACGGAAGCGCGAAGAACCTCTCACTTTACCATCATGGGGAACGGATTCAGAATCCTAACTTTTCAGGTAATTTACTGCTGAATACTTGAAGTAGGGGGTTCTCCTACCATGAGAAGCGAATATACAGCACCTGGTATATAGAACATGGTAGAAAACGTGGAACACTTCATTGTGCCGATGCATGCAGATTTTTACGTAATGTGCCAACTGAGAGTGAGAAGTTTGGGGAGAATCTCCTATCCTCTATGCAGAGTGAGATCTTGATGTGCAATCAAACAGTTAAGGATTCATCAATAGGCTATCAGTTAACATACACCAGGGTTGTGTTCATTAGGGCACGCAACGTTTTAAAACGTTTTGCAATGGAAAATGAGAATGTCCAGGTAGTCCTTCCCTGTTTCAGTCCATTTTTCTTCTGTTTGGTGCCTAATGAACACGACCCAGGAGTTGAAGGCCAACAGACATCACCAATAGCGATCAAAAGAGTAAAATACCTTCTGATTCAGAGTATGAGAAGCTGCATTTGATTTATTGTATGATGTTGAAAATGCAAACCTTTGGATCAAACAAAACACTGTGACCAATGCCAGAATTATTTTACTTTTTTTTACTTAACAATTTTGTTCATTTTTTGTATTTAATTTATTCTTGATTACATTTTTTTTTATTGATTTGGCTTATTGAATATGTCAGTTTGGGACTGTACTATTTGTATAAGTAAATGTTTTCTGCTGTACAGTAAAGATTTAAAGAAGTAAAATGTGTGTCCAGCATGCTGAATGATTACTTGTATGAACGTGGGCTTATTTCCCATGATGCTCCAGTCCTCATACATGAATTGCCTCTGCATCGTGACAGTGTGATGTTGTGTTTGAGAGTGGTGTGTGTCTCCTCACCTATCCTGCCCCCCTAGTAGACAGCCTGTTATGAGAGAGGCGGCATGTTTTTGGGGTGTTGCGGGTGTAAATCTGTGAGAAAAGGTGTGTGTGTGTGTGCGCATGCATACGTGTGTGTGTGTGTGTGTACTGTATGTGTGCGCGTGCATGTGTATGTGTAAGAGATAAAGAAAGAGTGAGAGAGAATCAAAACCCTCTGTTGCAGGAAACCCCCTGAGAGAACGAGAGAGAGTGTTCTGTTCAGCATGGATACTGTGTGTCATGCTTGGTGTTTTTAAAACCTACTGTAGGAGGCTGTCTCCAGTGCCCCAGACGTTTGCTATTGTATGTGCTGTATCAGAATATTACTATTGAGTGTTGGCCAGCTTGTTTATATTCATTCAATAAAGGTGACTTTCTTTCAGACTTGTATGCGGGCTGGTCTCTATGTAAATAGTATTGTATGTCCGGTTATAAACTACACATGAAGAACTGAGAGCACATGCATTCTTTCACTATCTATCATAGCTATGATACCTCTACTACAGTATTATAGCCACCTCTCGTCACCTAAGAAAACGAACCTGCCGGTTGGTTGACTATGCTGTACAAATGTGCATTCATGGTAATGTAATTCATGGTAGATTATCAGCCTGTGTAATGTAAGTCATTATGTACTGTGTGAATGAGTTGTTACTGCTAATGAACAGTCTCCATTTTACTAATATACTGCGTCTGTATAAATGCACTGTAAATGGACAACAGAAGACACACAAAGAAATTTGAAGGATGTTTTTTTCTCCCAGAATGAGTAAGATGCTCATTTTACTTTTTCTCATTGCTAGATGCTGTTTCATCTCTCCAAGCTCAAGGTTAGTGAGATAACATTGTTAAGGGTGAAATAGGAAGATGTCCACACACTTTAGTTTTACAGTAGTTTTTCAATTTTAACGATTTTAGTTACCCCATTAAATGAAATGTGCTAACAATATTTTAGTCAGTCACTGTCATCTGTTTAGTGAAAGGATAGTTAACTTAATATGGAGATGTCATTCACTGTCTCTGTGTTCTCTGTTTGTGGGTGCAATAATATTGACGAAGGGAACATAAGACTTAGACAATTTAACACGTTGCCGAACTGTGAAATATAATTTTCTTCTGATCTCACAGACCTTCCTCAGCACAGTCTGACAGTGAGTTCTACAGTCATCAGAGAAAGAGACTCAGTTCAGCTGAGGTGTCAGACTCCTTCATCTGTCTCTGTAGCTCAGTGTGTCTTCTACATAGTAAGAAGAGTGAATTTACTCTAGCTTCACTCTATAGACATACACTCACAGGTGCTCAGCTGCTCAGATGGACAGTTCAAAGTTAACCTGCTGAGGTCAAAATACAACGGCAGTACAGTGCTAAAGGTTAGCAGTTTAGATCCATATACAGTGAGCCTTCTACAGTCAAAATTCATGGTAAGAAGACTATTTGAATGGTTGGAAACAATGTACTGTTGTGCCATCATTACCATGTTCCTCTTGAGATATTTTATCATACTGTTTGATGTCACAAGCTATTACATGAAGCAATTAAGGAATATAGTATCTCCTTAATTTCCCATACTGTCGCTACATGAGGTAATGTACTCAAGATCCTTAAAGGGATAGTGAGAGATTTTGGCAATTAATCCCTTTATCTACTTAGCCAGATTCAGATGAACTCATGGAAACCATTTTTATGTCTCGCCGTGGATTTTGAAGGACGTTGAAGGTAGTTTCGCAAGGTAGCACGCCCCCATTCTCATCGACGGGGCTGTAGTGGAACAGGTTGAGAGCTTCAAGTTCCTTGGTGTCCACATCACCAACGAACTATCATGGTCCAAACACACCAAGACAGTCGTGAAGAGGGCACGACAAAGCCTATTCCCCCTCAGGAGACTGAAAAGATTTGGCATGGGTCCTCAGATCCTCAAAAAATTCTACAGCTGCACCATCGAGAGCATCCTGACTGGTTGCATCACCGCCTGGTATGGCAACTGCTTGGCCTCCGACCGCAAGGCACTACAGAGGGTAGTGCGTACGGCCCAGTACATCACTGGGTCCAAGCTTCCTGCCATCCAGGACCTCTATACCAGGCGGTGTCAGAGGAAGGCCCTCAAAATTGTCAAAGACTCCAGCCACCCTAGTCATAGACTGTTCTCTCTGCTACCGCACGGCAAGCGGTACCGGAGTGCCAAGTCTAGGTCCAAAAGACTTCTCAACAGCTTCTACCCCCAAGCCATAAGACTCCTGAACAGCTAATCATGGCTACCCAGACTATTTGCACTGCCCCCCCACCCCATCCTTTTACGCTGCTGCTACTCTGTTAATTATTTATGCATAGTCACTTTAACTCTACCCACATGTACATATTACTTCAACTACCTCAACTAGCCGGTGCCCCCGCACATTGACTCTGCACCGGTACCCCCCTGTATATATAGCCTCCCTACTGTTATTATATTTTACTTCTGCTCTTTTTTTTCTCAACACTTTTTTTGTTGTTGTTTTATTTTTACTTTTTTTGTTAAAAATAAATGCACTGTTGGTTAAGGGCTGTAAGTAGGCATTTCACTGTAATGTCTGCACCTGTTGTATTCGGCGCATGTGGCCAATACAATTTGATTTGATTTGATTTGAAAGTGATTGCTAGTGCTAACGCTAGTTACCAATTGCGCTTATGCTAGTTAGCAAATTACTTCAAACTGCATGCAGAGACATAGAACATGGAATCCATGAGTTCATCTGACTCTGGATAAGTAGAAAAAGGGGAGGGGATATTTGGCCCTATCACACCATTTGCAAACATCAGCCAAAATGATAAACTGTTCAGATACTACACCATCAATCAATCAAAGTTATCTTGTTAACCTAAACGACATAATTGTAGATGCACTGTTATTATCTAATAGACAAGTGACTTAATTGTTTTTATTTTTCAAACTTATATCAAGTGCTACAATATCTATGAGTACTTAAACATTGAAAATGAATGTATAATTCAATGACAAGTGACACACTCCATCACCCCTCCGATTTCTCAGACCTTCTTCCCAGTCTGACAGTGAGGCCTGCAGTCATCAAAGAGAGACACTCAGTTCATAACATTTCACTGTTATACCGTATTCATTATGCTTGTTCTGAAATTTTGATCTTATGTCATATTTCATCAACGTCTTCATTACACATAATAGGTCTTACTGTAGGTTTTTCTGTACTGTACGAACAAATACTGACATAGTTGAATTTTTTAAAAGTGGATTTTCCATACTGTTAGTATGTATGGATTACCTGTAATGTTTTTTAATGCAACTTTAAAAGAGACACTCTATTTTTCTGATCTCACAGACCCACCTCCTCCCAGGCTGACAGTCAGTTCTACAGTCATCAGAGAGAGAGACTCAGTTCAGCTGAGCTGTCAGACTCCTCCATCTGTCTCTGTGTCTCCCAAGGAAGTTGAAGGTAGTTTTGCAAGCGATTGCTAGTGCTAATGCTAGTTAGCAATTGCGCTAATGCTAGTTAGCAACTTACTTCAAACTGCACGCAGGGACATAAAAATGGTATCCATGAATTCATCTGACTCTGGGTAAGTAGAAAAAGGGGAGGGGACATTTGGCCCATAGACATGCCTGTAACTTGCAAAGACAAAGGGTAGAGCTCTTCTTTCCCATTCTGATTCTCGTTCTGTTCTCCCCTCTAAACACATATGGACACAGAACGTAATCAAGCATCTGACCAATTACGAAATACTTTAGTTCCGGGTTAACCGAGATTGTCTGAAATAACAAGGAGGGATTAGGCTGTCAGTAAACTTCTCAAAACCACAAAATGCTAAATGCTTAATTCCCCTATTCTCACAGACTCTCCTCAGCTGACAGTGAGTTCTATAGGCATCAGTGATACAGACTCAATTAAGCTGAGCTGTCAGACTCCTCCATCTCTCGATGTGTCTCACTGTTCCATCTATAAACAGGGGTGATTTAATCTGCCAGGCTCATCCTGTACGCAGACACTCACAGGAACAGAGCTGCACTCTTGGGCAGGTCAAGCTTTTCCAGCTGTGATAAAAGTGACTTGTTTCTACGCTTTAGAGATCATAAATCTCAACCGCAAATACAAATATAGTTGTCAAAAATATAAAACCAAGAAGTCAAAGACAAATCTTTTACTCAGACAAGTTCGTTTGTTGGTTTTGAAAATGTAATTGAAGCCATCTAATGATGCAAAATATCAGCTGTTAAAGACAATAGCTACAGACAACAAAGATAATGACTGATAAATTATTCTGAATGTTCCTTTGCAACATTAGCCCACACTTGCCGTATGAGACTTGTTTCTGCTATCTGTGGTTTTCCTGTGAACAAGCTCCACATCTACTTCTCTATTCAAACAATCCTCTCTGACACAATCACCATCTTCTGTGAAGTCAGACTAACAGTCTGTAGCTGTCTGATTATTGGCGTTGTTAATCTCTGATATGGCTGGTCATCTGTTTTTGGTCATCCTCCTTTTTGGTGAGTATTTCCTCCATTCCAAGTTCCATCATCTGTTTGTGCTACAGGATTCTCTCTCCTCTTTTAATCTTTTACTTTAGGAACTCTTTATATATTTCTGAATCTCATGGCTGTAATAAGTGTGTGTCACGATCGTTTACAGATTGGACGGACCAAGGCGCAGCGTGATAAGCATACATGTTTATTAAACGAATAAACACACGACAAAAACAACAAACGAAACGTGAAGTCCAAGGTAGCACACTAACATACCAAAACACGGAACAAGATCCCACAACTAACAGGTGCCAAAAGGCTGCCTAAGTATGGTCCCCAATCAGAGACAACGAGCAACAGCTGCCTCTGATTGGGAACCACACCGGCCAACATAGATCTATACATACTAGATCTAACCATAGACAATAAACATAGCACAACACGACACAGAAAATACACACCCTGACTCAACGAATACGAGTCCTAGAGTCAGGGCGTGACAGTATGTCTTATTCCATTGATCACTTTATTGATTAATTTTTCTCTACCATTATATTTTGTTCAGATAAGAATAAGAACTACTGCTTGACAACATGCCCATGAATCCATTATAGTATATTATACTTTACCAACTTCTGTAAAGTGTTCCTGTCGCTCATGTACATTTTTTTTAGAATGCCATATTTTCCTGATCAAGACCTATTTTGTTATTTCTAGACACCTTCCAATACATCAAAGCCCAAGGTCATTACCAAGGTCATTATGAGTGTTTACAACTGGAATTATTTTCCGTATTTTAGATTTTTCTGCCTACAAAAACTATTTTTACTAAATAATATCACCATCAATCAATCAAAGATATCTTGTTAACCTAAATGACATAATTGTAGATACACTGTTCTCATCTAATAGACAACAATGACTTAATTGTTTTTATTTTTCAAACGTATATATTAAGTACTACAGTATCTATGAGTACTTAAACACTGAAAATGAATTCATAATTAAATGACAAGTGATACACTCCATAATCCATCTGATCTCACAGACCATCCTCCTCCCAGTCTGACAGTGAGGCCTGCAGTCAAAGAGCGAGACTCAGTTGATAACATTTCACTGTTATACCGTATTCATTACGCTTGTTCTGAAAATGAGATCTTACATCATATTTCATCAATGTCTTCATTTCACATACTTACTGTAGGATTTACTGTACAAACAAATACTGACTTACTTGAAAATTGTATGTTAGTATGTATGGATTACCTGTAATGTTTTTAAATGCAACTTTCAAAGAAGCACACTCTATTCTTCTGATCTCACAGACTCGTCCCAGGCTGACAGTCAGTTCTACAGTAATCAGAGAGAGCGACTCAGTTCAGCTGAGCTGTGAGACTCCTCCATCTCTGTGTCTCCCAAACTAACACACCAGTTCATTCCCGATCGGTGGCCAATGTTCATTTGGGTCTTTCTGAGCAGGGTTCGTTTGTTCGGTTCTACCTGAGCAGGGTTCGTCTCTTCCTCCCGAGCATGGATCGTAAGTCGATGGCTGGTCTGGTAGTCGATGGCTGGTCTGGTAGTCGATGGCTGGTCTGGTAGTCGATGGCTGGTCTGGTAGTCGATGGCTGGTCTGGTAGTCGATGGCTGGTCTGGTAGTCGATGGCTGGTCTGGTAGTCGATGGCTGGTCTGGTAGTCGATGGCTGGTCTGGTAGTCGATGGCTGGTCTGGTAGTCGATGGCTGGTCTGGTAGTCGATGGCTGGTCAGGTAGTCGATGGCTGGTCTGGTAGTCGATGGCTGGTCTGGTAGTCGATGGCTGGTCAGGTAGTCGATGGCTGGTCTGGTAGTCGATGGCTGGTCTGGTAGTCGATGGCTGGTCTGGTAGTCGATGGCTGGTCTGGTAGTCGATGGCTGGTCAGGTAGTCGATGGCTGGTCTGGTAGTCGATGGCTGGTCTGGTAGTCGATGGCTGGTCTGGTAGTCGATGGCTGGTCTGGTAGTCGATGGCTGGTTCGGTAGTCGATGGCTGGTCTGGTAGTCGATGGCTGGTCTGGTAGTCGATGGCTGGTCTGGTAGTCGATGGCTGGTTCGGTGTTCAACGGCAGGTCGCCTACTGTCCCTCGCTCCGCACCAGCCCAGCTGCGTGGTAGAGTTGGGTTTAGCCTATCACAGCAGCGTCGGGCGTGTCCCCAGTGTCTGTAGTCGTGGGGGACACAAAACATACAATTAGAGCCAACAATTGGGGTCACAGTCACACGTTAGAAACAAGCACTTTCCTTTAGTAGTGCTATAGAGAGCTTTGTGATTTGTGTCTTTCCCACAGCAGGCGACCAGCGGAGAGGAGCAGTGAGTCGGTCGAGAGGTCACTGGTCCATTTCCTTTTAACTGGGGCATGTTTAGCAATTAGTTTGGGGATGGAGGAGTTGATAGAGAATTGGCAACAGCTGTCTCAATGTGGCTTTAGTCCAGGGAAAATAGTCCATGCGATTCCATTTGATTTCACACATGAGAATGTAAGAAATTAAGTGAAAGGCAATCGTTGTAAACACACAGCACACATTATTAAATGGCACTCATAAATCAAATCAAATCAAATCAAATACAATTGTATTGGTCACATGCGCCGAATACAACAGGTGCAGACATTACAGTGAAATGCTTACTTACAGCCCTTAACCAACAGTGCATTTATTTTAAACAAAAAAAAGTAAAAATAAAACAACAACAAAAAAGTGTTGAGAAAAAAAAGAGCAGAAGTAAAATAAAGTGACAGTAGGGAGGCTATATATACAGGGGGGTACCGTTGGTAATGTGCCTCATTACAAAAAAGAGGTTGATACTTGATTAATTAAATCAACCCATTTATATACTACATTTTTGTATAATTAGAATGACTTTCCTTGTACCAGGTTCGACTGTTAGTTCTACTTTGACCACTGACACTCCAAGTAAAGGTAAGTATGGCCACTAGATTTGATCTTAGTGGTGTAATAAGTTGTGTTTTGTGCTAATTGTTAATAAAGGGTATCTCTCTTCCATGTGAACATTAGGTCAAAGTTCCACAGACATTGTTGTGAATTCAAACAGTCAAGGAAGCGTTCCAGGTATGTGTCCTTCTCTAACTGTCTTTTTTACACAAATAAGACAACTGATACCTGCAACCTCACAATTTAATGCCACATTTTCTGAGATAAAATCTTGAGATGTAGTATTGACCCTGAGATACAAGCTAATGACCTTCCCAATGTCACCAAACAGCAGTGCAATTATGGCAGGCAGTAGTGAGTGTGGCTTCTGGGGTGGGAGTTCAAATACTGTTTCCAATTGTACATTCAGTCAAGGTTTTAACAAATTATGAAATTGTGAACATGTAATCTTTCTACTGACTCAGTTGTGTTCTACTGACTCAGAAATAATGAATACCTTTCGTCTTGTGTAATCAGATACAGAAATAACTTGTATTACTTTCCAGCAGGTTCGACTGTTATTTCTACTTTGACCCCTGACATCACAGTGAGACCAACTAGTAAGTATCGCTTAGTTTGCTATTTCATTTTTTTCACTCTAATTCACTAAATCTCCAACTGTTTTACTCATAAACCTATTCATAGCTGCTTGTACTTTCACTCTAAATTGTTGTACTTTTCTTAGATATTAAACAAATGTAAATTTGTCTTCTCTTACATTATCTTCTCCTACATCAGGTGTGTCGGTCATCTTTAGTTAGCAAAACTGAAACAAATAGACTACCTTTATCTATCTCAGGTTTTTGTAAAAAAAAAAAATCCCATCACAAATTTACACACAGGAGGTCAAAGCTCCACAGACAGTATTGTGAATTCAAACTGTCAAAAAATAGTTTTGGGTATGTCTCCTTATTTAGTAATCCCATTTAAGTATTTACATTGGCATTAAGAGCTAATGACCTCTCCTGATGTCATCATGTCACCAAACAGCTGTGCAATTATGGCTGGCAGCAGTGGGTATGGCTTCTGGAGTGGGTGTGTTCCTGATGGGATTGACAACTGTCTGTCTCTGCAGGAGGACCAGTGAGTACTTCTGATTCTGCATAACAAATATTTTGAAAACGTTTTTCTTTGTCATATTAATGTCAGTGCCTTTGACATGGGTTAATCTATCAACTCATTTTGGTCATATTTTATAGGGTAGGCTATAATCAATATAATTATTTTAGCCTAATTTGTTTTTCAGTGAGAAAACATTCTCAGAGGTAAGAATTCCCCTTGTGGATATTTTATGATGCAGATTATATCTCAACCTTTAGTTCTGTATTGTCCATGATGAGATGTTCTTACCACAACCTTCTTATACTTGTATTTTGTATAGACCTATAGCCAGACAGGATGATCACAGCCAACATATGTTTTTTTTTAAATCATCAAACACTGCACACACTACTAACACAACTACACACATGCATGTACAAATACAAATTGTAATTACATTTTCATTTAGTTTCTGTTCTAGATGATTTGGTGATGTGAGCTGTGAGCAGTGCAGGCATGTTGGAATCAGGGGATGCTGGGATCAATTCTCTCATCACCTCTGTACCGTCCACGTTTTTGCCCTCAGGTGAGTTTGTAACAGAATGTCTTCTGTCCCCGTCTTCCCGACCTGGGACGTGAATTTGGGATCCTCGTCACAATAACACTTTGTCACTCAATGTCAACCATACTAACGTAAAACAGAAAATAAGGTGTTAATCAGAGCATCTTGAAAGCGTGAGAACCGAGCTATAAGTTTACAGGGTGGTTTGAATCAGGAGGAGAAGTGTGAAGTGACATTAAGCACAGTAAAGTAACACGTACAACCACATCCAGACTGACGCGTGCACACACACACAAAAACACACAAACACACACACACACACACACACACACAAATACCCACAAACTTTAACTCAGGCTCCCTCTGTGTTGTACAGGCCCTGTTGATGAGAATGGAAAGTCATCTGCAAACCACAATGTAAGTTCAGAATCAACTACTGTGTTTGGTGATTGTGAACGACTCTCAGTTTCAGATTAATGTTACATCTTCTTAGTATACACATATTTACAGTATTGTAGATTCAAAGGACTGAAGTTAAACTGTCTGTTTCCTTTCTCTAGTCTGATGTGTACCACGTATACAGCTCAATCCCCGACAGACCAGCAACCTCAGCCCAGCCGGATGGTTTGTACAGTCTTCTGCAGGCACACTGAAACTACACCACTGACTTTCTATAACTATGTCTCACAGAAATACTCTTCTATGTAGGATGTCCTTTATTTATCATACAACATGGTACTGTGAATAAGTATCTAATACATCTACTGCTGTGCCGTTTCTAGTCGTAAGAGACATAAGTGGACGCCATCTCATTGCAAAATGTGTAGAACTGCAGGAAATAAGCTTTCAAACTGAATTTGTTTATTTCAACCCCATGGCACAATGTTTAGAATTGCAGGAAATTACCTTTATAACTGCAAAATTGTCTCCGCCCCATGGCAGAATGAAAAAAATTGCAGGACATTAACTTCAAAGCTGCACATTTTTCTCTTCGCCGCCATCATGAGGTTGGGCCACTAAAATGTGTTGCCCGCGAGGTGGTCAAATCTCGCTTAGGGCCCCCTAAATACTAGAAACTGCCCTGATCTACTGTATCACACATGGACACCTGTCTTCTGTTACATGCCTTTCCATATTATCGGTTACTGTGTTAGTATTTTTATTTATGGGTTTTTGAAGGGGTCCGGGGCATACTCCCCTTTTAACATTTGTCTTATCCCCCCCCCCCACCCCCTCCCCCCAGTAAATGCTAAATATATACTGTATTTATATTATATATTATGTCATCTGTGTGATACCTCCTTCCATAACTGTTGGATAAAATGTATTAGAAATCAAAATAGATCCAAATCTAAATATAATATTTGAATTTTCAAAATGTTTACATTGTTGGCAACATCAGATCCTCAAACCTGAAAAATATAGATTTCCTAAATGCTATTAAAATCTCCCCATTTCCCCATGTTTACCTGTTATTTTCCAATTTCCCAGATTAACTTCAGCACTTCAGAGTCTCCCCTTCAATGTGCAGTGTTGCAGACACATTCTAGCATTTGAGTTCAATGACTGCGGAGTAGTTAAGATGAAAATGGTGTGAGACCATCATTTTTTTCTCCAGTTAACATGGGAGATTAGCCTTGTATGACCTTCCTGATCTCGCGAGCTTACAGATGTAGGATCTTAATTTGAGCCAGTTTGCTACAGCAGGACTATAATCCTGCAGCAGCTGGAAATGTGAATTGTTATGTGAATTATAATTTTTGTTCTGTTTGAAATGATCTCTTCTCTAAAACAAAAAAGCATTCAGAATAAATTGACTTCAACCATTACCTCGTCTTTGTTAGTATTTTACATTATTTGATTTTAGTCTTGATTATTCAAGATAATCCCAAAAATATGTACTGTTATCTATGTTACTGTTTTTAGGCCATTGGTGAAGATCAAGGTGCTATTTTCCCTAAATGTTTGTTTCAGTCCATATAACTACAATTGTCAAACAGAACCTCTTTGGGCCGGTTCCCCAGAGACAGATTATGTCTAGTCCTGGACTAAAAAGCATGTTCAATGGACAATTTAGGTGGTAGGCTTAATCTGGGTCTGTGAAACCAACCATTGGTGTTATGGACTACAGGTAGTCAAGGACATTGATATTTTTGATCTTGCATCCAGACTCTCTGTATTGTGGTCAGTTCTACTGTGAGGGGGCAAATATGTCTACATTCTCCTGCAGCAGTCACAGACAGACTATAGATCACATACCAACCAGTACATGTATGCTGTCATGTATTCTACAAACAGGTGCACGAGTTTACACACACACACACACACACACACACACACACATACACACACACACACACACACACACACACACACACACACACACACACACACACACACACACACACACACACACACACACACACACACACACACACACACACACACACACACACACACACACACACACACACACACACACACACACACCACAGTAGGGTGGAAAGGCTCTTGCCACATCCTTCTGAAACTTCAGCATATCACATTTCAGAGACTTGTTGAGTTCAGAGGGGATTGATAGAAATACTGTTGAAACAAACCGCAGATACATTTAACTGAAACTATTCAACATTTTTACCAGACTATTTTAGCAAAGATATGAAAACCAAAACTAAATTCACCCTCCAAAAATACCAACATGAGAAATGTATTACAGTTTTTTTCAATTGTTTAAGCACAATTTTGAAAACAGGGCCCGGTTTGTCAAAACACTACACACAATTAGCACAACCCTACACCAAAGTAGCACAACACTTCAGATCATTTGCAAAATGGAACACTTTTGTCAAAACTATACACGACTTCATAAAAACAATATTTTGTTACCATACGAAACACACACATTTCATATTACTTCAATCTTTTTGAACCAGTTACACACTGCTGTTGCTAACCTAAAACACTTTTAGCAAGTCTAATTCTCAGTGATTAGAGTACTGTACACAGAGAAAGTGCAACTATACAAACACTACACAATACCAATGCTGCAGACTGAGGAAAATATCATTTATTTCTCTCCATATACCCAAATCAGTCAACATGTCAACATGGAGAATCACAACAAAACATGTCCCAGTTTTCATGCTACTACAGTAGTGTGCATAACACTGTTAGCTCAGCAAACAACAGACAAACGTAAAATACTGTATCCAGTACAGGTTACAATTACAGTAAATAACAACAAACATAAAAATAATCTGAAAAAAAAAACGGACAATATTGTACAGAAAATACTACAGTAAACATACTATACATTATCTCTTCGCCTAGCTGGATCTGGCCAGAGAATTTCATCAACATCACAAGCAATATCCTCATTAGCAAGACAACGCGGGAAGAACCGTCTTGAATGTCGAATCCATCCTGCGGCGTCGACTTGGTCACAGGCGTCCTCCATGGCCTGAATGAGGGGTACCTGAGCCTGGGGCTGGAGATCGTAAACCTTCAACCGCCATGCAGAGAAAAACTCTTCGATAGGGTTTAGAAACGGAGAGTATGGTGGAAGGTATAGTACTGTCAACTGTGGATGGTGTTGAAACCAGTTCTGGACCAAAGCAGAGCGGTGGAATGACACATTGTCCCAGATGACAGTGTATTGCATCTGGTGCATTTCATTACCTGCTGTGACGATGTGGGGCAATCGGTCCAAAAATGTGAGAATGTGAGGTGTGTTGTAAGGGCCCATTTTGGCATGACGGAGGAGAACCCCATGCTGTGAAATGGCAGCGCAAAGGGTGATGTTACCCCCACGTTGCCCTGGGACATTGATTATAGCCCTGTGGCCAATGATATTTCTGCCTCTCCTTCTTGCTTTTGTGAGGTTGAACCCTGCCTCATCAATATATATGAATTCATGCAGGATTTCCTCAGCATCCATCTGCAAAACTCTCTAAAATACAGTGAAAGACAAGATTGTGTAGTTCAGGATAGGTCTCCTGAGTGGCGCAGTGGTCTAAGGCACTGCATCGCAGTGCTAACTGTGTCACTAGAGATCCTGGTTCGAATCCAGGCTCTGTCGCAGCCGGCCGCGACCGGGAGACTCATGGGCGGCGCACAATTGGCCCAGTGTCGTCCAGGGTAGGGGAGGGAATGGCCGGCAGGGATGTAGCTCAGTTGATAGAGCATGGCGTTTGCAACGCCAGGGTTGTGGGTTTGATTCCCACAGGGGGCCAGTATAAAAAAAAATATATATATGTATTCACTAACTGTAAGTCGCTCTGGATAAGAGCATCTGCTAAATGACTAAAATGTAAATGTAAATGTCTAGTATACAGTCAATGTAAAAAAGTTGTTTGACCCTCTCTGAATTCTGCTCAAAAGGCACTAGATAAAGTTGTTTCATTTGAACCTGATGTCTTTTCAGGATGCGTGCCAGTGTTGACTGAGAGACCTGATGGACATTATTGAAAATGGCCTGATCACCGATAATGTTGGCTTGTAGTTCTCTGAGCCTGATAGCATTATTGGCCAAAACCATGTAAATTATCTCTCGCTCTTGTTCTTGCGTGAATATGGGCCCCCTTCCTCCTTGTCGTTCCCGACCCTCAATCCTATGTAATAATAATAATAATGTATGTAGAGAATAATACATGTAACTTACTGTACAATGTCACAGGAAGGGGTATCACAAGTGCTGATATGATGCATACAATAAGCGGCTGATTACTGTAACTGTAGACAGATCCTCTTTTACCTGTTTTCCTGTCGAAAAGTCCTTATGACAGATGACACTGTATATCTGCTAAGATTTGGCTGAACTCTCAGTCCAGCCTCCCTCAGCGTCAATCCGTGGTTCACAACATGGTCCACTAGTGTTGCACGAATGTCATTTGATAAGTTTGGTCCTCTTCTTCTTTGTGCACGTTCTCCTCCTGTTTCAGGTCTTCCTCGACCTCTGGCTCGGCCTCTGCCTCTTCCTCTACCTCCTTCGTGTACTCCTCCTCTCACCCTCACTCTTCTTCTGACTCCTTCCATTTTGGTTGAAGGCAGGTGAACCTACCTGCTGCATTTCTATAGTGCTTAAACCTGATTGGTGTGTCTACAATTTAGCAATCATGTGTTTGTGTACCTGATGGCTGTGTTTAACAGATTGGCTCATAGGTGTGGTAATTTGACAGTCAGTGCTTTGGAATTGCAAGGAAGTGACATCATGATATACTTCTGTGTCTGATGTATACAAGTGTGTTTAGTGTTTTGCAAATCACTGTGTGTAATGTTTTGCAACTAGTGTGAAGCTGACAATGTGCTTACAGTTGTGCAAATCTAGCCTTGTGTTTTGCTCCTTGAGTGTAAGGTTTTGCTAATTGTGGGAAAAGTAAAATTTTTGTGTGTATGCAATCGTAAAAAACTGTAATGTTTCTGACTATTACAACAAGCATCTCACGAGCGATGACACCCCCCTTGTCATGCTATATTTCCATGGAAATGTTCAGTGTCGTTGTTTGTTGCTTACGCATCTGCTCCTCTATTATCTCATTAAGATAATAACTACAGTAGATAGGAAAAATATTGCCTCTAATGCACACTGTGGAGAGTCATATGGAGCCACAGGAAGACTGTTTCTTATTTTTTACTTTTGGATGTTGGCAATATA